AGGAGAGGGCCGAGCGAGACCGGCGACGAGAGGGCGCGGCGGTCTCGCGCGAGATTTCGCGCTTCACCCCATAATTACGCGATCCTGAGAATTCATTAGCGCGTTAACCAGGTGCGAGCAGCATCGGCCGCCCCGATGGTCGAGGGAACGGAGAGAGCGAGCCGGCCTCGAGACCGAGCCTCGGGCAAAAAATTAATCCCATCGGATTAACCGGCCCGTTATAATTACCGAGTACCGTGTACGAAGCGTTAACGGCCGAGAGGATTTGCGAGGGCCGACCGAGCCTGCCCGAACGTTCGCGATACACGACCGGATTAATTAGGTTCCTCCTTTCGTTGCGCGCGCGCGCGCGCGCGCGCCTTCTTCCCCGAGGCCGAGACCGAGATCTCGAGGCTGAGGCCGAGGCGCGCCGTGTGCCCGGCATCGGGGTCTATTTGGATCGGACACGCGCCAAAATAATCTTTCCATCGGCACCGCGCCTCCTCGCGTTTATTCCATAGAAATACCGTTTCGAGAATTTTTGCGGGTACAGACGCGGTACGCGGGACGACGATCGAGTCCGTAACGCTTCGAGGAAGGGACGACATCCGGCGCGATATCCGGCCCCGATGGTCCACGTCCTCTCGTAAAATCGTACGTCCCGGCTCGGCCACCCGCGTTCGCGTTCTTCTTGCCGGAGACGGAGAGCTTTCGGCGCGGCGGAATAAAGAGTTTAGCGATCGATCGGCTTTTTATCGTGCGGATCGCGCGGCTCGCGGAGCGCGGATCGAGAGAGCCGAGCGCCGCGATGCTCGTGCGAGACGCGAGAGGAGAGAGAAGAGAGAGAGGAGAGCGCGCGGGCGAGCGGACTCGGGGGCCCGAACGATTTATGCCCGGCGACTTATTTGGCAGCATTGTTTACGGGCCAGGAAGCAGTTTGTCCCGGACACTCGGCTCCTTTTTTGCGATATAATTGCAGATTCTGCGCGTCCGCGCCGCCAGGGCGGTCCTTTTTTGCGGCGGATCTTTCTGTCCGAGCCCCGAGAAAGAGCCATAAGAAACTCGCACCGGCGAAGCGAGGAACGACGCGACCGTCCTCCACCGTCCTCTCGCCCTTTCGTCCTTCCCCTCTTCGTCGCTGCGTCCCCGCGCTGTTCCTCTCGCCCGTCTTCGCAGCCGTACCACTTTATCGCAACGTCCGCCTTTTTCTACCGGCCGCGATATTTCCCTCTCCTCTTGCCGAGTCGCTTTTACGGTAGCTCGAAAACCGACGCGTCCCGATTCTCGTCCTTCTTCTTTCTTTCCTCGTCCGCGTCCTCCTTCTTCTCCTCGTCCACCCCTCCCAAGCTCGGCCGCCCGCCGTCTCTACGGGACTCGCGGCTCCCGCGGCACCCACGGCTCCCACGGATCCTCGACTCGTCACCTTCGCCCCGGGCCTCCGATCGTTCGAATCGCGGGCCCGGGACAAAGGCGGAGAAAGTATGTACCCGGGCGGAATCGCGAGCCTTCCGAAACACGACGGTGTCCGACGCCAAGGACGCGGCGATAAAGAAATCGAACCCGTCGAAACCGCTGCAGCGGCGATCGAGGGCTCCGAGTCTCGAATCTCGAATCTCGAATCTCGAATCTCGAATCTCGAATCTCGAATCTCGAATCTCGAATCTCGAATCTCGAATCTCGAATCTCGAATCTCGAATCTCGAATCTCGAATCTCGAATCTCGAATCTCGAATCTCGAATCTCGAATCTCGAATCTCGAATCTCGAATCTCGAATCTCGAATCTCGAATCTCGAATCTCGAATCTCGAATCTCGAATCTCGAATCTCGAATCTCGAATCTCGAATCTCGAATCTCGAATCTCGAATCTCGAATCTCGAATCTCGAATCTCGAATCTCGAATCTCGAATCTCGAATCTCGAATCTCGAATCTCGAATCTCGAATCTCGAATCTCGAATCTCGAATCTCGAATCTCGAATCTCGAATCTCGAATCTCGAATCTCGAATCTCGAATCTCGAATCTCGAATCTCGAATCTCGAATCTCGAATCTCGAATCTCGAATCTCGAATCTCGAATCTCGAATCTCGAATCTCGAATCTCGAATCTCGAATCTCGAATCTCGAATCTCGAATCTCGAATCTCGAATCTCGAATCTCGAATCTCGAATCTCGGCGCTCGGTGCAGCGAGCGCGATTCGTCGACTCCTCGATTCCGTGAATCGAGTCGTTCGCTTTTTTTGCCGACGGACCGAAAGCAGGACGAATCGGGTCGCGAATCGATCTTCTTTCGTCCCTTGAACGGAACACGGCCGGTCTATATTTATGGACGACGCGCGCTGGGTTAAACTCGGCCTGATCGCGAGCTCGAACGACGCGTCCGTCGACATCCTTCGAATTTCGCTTCGTTTTATGCACTCGTAAACTAAACTCGCGCGCGAACGATGATCGCGTCGAGGTGAATTTATGCGACCGGTCGTTGTCGATGCGTTAACGAGGGCTATCGTCGTCGGCGAGCATGCCAAATTGACGTTATCCGATATACCGTGTACGACTCGGCTTCGAATCGCGGCGGTCTAATATTACGCTAATTAAGCTCCGTATTCGGCGAAGATGACATATCTTCCCCGATGTAATTGGAGCAAGATGTATTTACGCGACGGAACCTATCATCTTCTCGCCGTTCATCGGGCCCGATCGACTCGATGATAATTGACGCGCGCGCGCGCGTAATAACGGACGGCGCGCAAAGTAATTAAGACCGAGCCCGCGAATTTATCAAGATCGTCTCGGGACATGGTATTAACGCCGCGCCGAGACGCCTAGCGCGCGGACATGCAAAACCGATACGTTGATCGGCGTATCGGCGATCTTGGCTCGAGTCGAACGTTCCGTTAAAACGAGAACACCGAATTAAATTTGCTTTCGATCGATAAATTCAACGCGATCGCGTAAATCGTGCAACGATTTCATCGGGATACTCGAAGTCTAGAAGTTACGAAAGAATTTCTAGCCCGAGGAAAACGCGTAGAAACGAATGGACGGATAACGATCGATGGAAAGAGTCGGCGGATCGACCGTGGCAGGAAATTGACGCGCGGCCGCGCAACCTGCGGTCCCGAGGGGAACCCTTGGGACGAGATCGCGCGTTCCCGCCTTTGCGGAGAAGCGAAGCCATAAATTCGCGCGGCGCGTCGCGTCGCCGACAAAAGGATCCGATAGCGGCAAAACTTGCAGAAAACCCTTTTTATCTGCATCCACCGAGTACGGTAACGCAAGACCCGTCGTTGAAACGATACGAATCCGACACGGATGCCGATGATTTCATCGGACAGCGAAACGTTGCGGAAAAGATCGCGTTCGCGGCGAATACCCGAACCCCGTTGCAGAATTTTCCAACGTACGATCGAGGACGCGTTGCGATTTCGAGTTGTTCCAAGTTTTCGATTCGAGCGAATTATTCGAAGAATTATTGTATCGTTTATCGCTTTCAGAATCTCGCAGTTTTCTGTCTCGTCGATCAAATCCGAGGGCAATTGGTGCAATTTCGACGAATAAACGTAAAGCGACGTCGAGGAGAATCGAACGAGGAGATCGCAACGATCGAAAGTGCTTTGGTTGTTTCATCTTCGGAGAGAACGGGGATACATTTTAAAATTATTTAGACGCATCGCGATAAACCGAACACGGTACACGGTTCGATCGAAATCGAATCGAATTATGATACTTCGGTCTCGTAGCGGTGCGCGAGGTCGATTTAGGATAACTACTCGGCGAAAGGTGGTGCCATCCGTGGCAGAATGCCGAACCTTGTCCGACGGCTTCGAGCTTCGAGATTTCGCCGCGCGCGTCGCTACGATTTGTCCAAGAGATATCGATACGATCGATCGACCGACCGACCGACCGATCGATCGATCGAGTATACCGCGCAAAGTCGACTCGCAATATCTCTTGGAAAATGGTGGAACCGATTTGAAAATCAAACCAACGATATGTAGATAGCGTATAGAGTACAGAGTTTAATAACGATGAATTTCTGCTCTACTCGGTGGCCCGAAGGGCGTACGCTCCGAGTCTTTCGCGATCAAAAAACAACGAAACGAATCTCGATCTGGATCTGGATTACGAATACCGATTCGATTCGGCAATTTTCCGTATCTCCGAACGCTACGTATCGTACTACGAGCGTTTCGGACGAAGCGCCGAGAACGAGATCGTATTTTCCCATTAAAATGACTCGTTAAATTCGAAATATGAATCGTACGAAACAATCCGCGAATATCTCGGTAAAGAGCGATTGAGCAAAACATATTTCCCGTGAAAGAGCTTACATATTTCCCGTGAAAATGCTGGAATTCTGCGAAACATTGCAACGTCGGATTTCCAATAGCGCTACCCTCGATGATTCGTTAGCGTCGCGTTCCAACGATTAGATTAATTATGTATAAAAAGCAAATTATTGACCACTCGTAAATAACACGTCCGATGCGATGCCAGTGTCGTAGAACCAATGAAATGGCGCATCGTAGTTTGGGAAATCGACGATAGGCGACGCTGCGGAAGAATTCTTGCGGGGGACTGCGCGGTGACCTGCGCACCGCTATTTCTCTATGCGTACGTAATACACGTGTATATCGAACATAGCATCGTCCCTTCATAGTTGACTTTTATATCCATGGTTAACATTTAAACCGGTGTAAATTCATATCAATGATCTATTATTATACTATATTAATTTGATATTAATTAATTATCGAACCAACGAATAAATTCTTTTCGCGTTTCGCGTACACTCTGGCAAGATTGATTATAAATCGATCGCTCGTCGGTAAGCAACGCGATGGCAGTTGAATTAATATTTACAAGGTGGTAAACATTTGATCGACGTTATTCGTTAACTTGATCGATATTCAAAATTGTCGATCAAATAGAAAATCTCGTTTATCCGCATCCGCCACATTTTACTTCGGCATCTACCGCTACGCGGCGATAGTACGGCACGGTCCAAAACGAGGCTGACGTGGACGAAACATTGAATCTGCGCGTTTATGTTCGTGTTTACGTTTGCGCTCGCAAGGCGCGTGTAAATACGATCTTTCTTGTCAATTGTTCTTTCTAACCTGACAGGGATGTATCGTTGCGCGCGTTATTAGAAGTTTCTGATTTGATTTTAGCGTTACGCAGGTATAGAACGATGGCGCTCGGGGCATATACAGCATGCGAATTGGTTGGCGAAGGTTCGTTCGGACAAGTGTTCAAAGCTAAACGATACTTCGACGGTGAAACGGTAGCTATTAAAGCTGTTCAAAAGGTAAGGAAACATTGACGTTCGATCCTTTCGTTTCTGACTCCTTCGATATCTCGTTTCTACAACGTTCGTACACGCATTGTATCCGTTCGTATCGTTCGTATCGTTCGTGTCGGTGATCGTATCGCGCGAACGATCGTACAGCATGGAAGATCGAACGACGAACTGAAAAGTTTGCGTCAAGAATGGGAGATCCAACGCGAGCTTCAACATCCAAATATAGTGCCGATATATGGATGCTACGAGAATAAAACCGAGGTACGGACACGCGAGTTCGCAACGAGTGCGTTTGAATTGTGACGCGGAAGCAAATCTTTCTTTCAGATATGGGTTGAAACGGAATACGTGGCCAAAGACTTGCACAAGGTGTTGAAGACTAGTAAAAATTGCAGACTGTCCATCGAAAGAACTCAAGCGATAACGTGCGATCTGGTCTCCGCGTTGTATTACTTGCACTCCAAGGGAATATTGCACAGGTTCGTTAATTCGTATCTTCGTTCAATGTCTAATAATTTCGCCAACGAATGGTTTTATTTCGCAGGGACATTAAACCGCAAAACGTATTGATCAAGCAGAACGGACAAGCGATGCTGTGCGACTTTGGTTTCGCCCGCAGCATGCAAACGGGCACACGGGTATTGACTTCCATAAAAGGAACGCCGTTGTACATGGCCCCGGAGCTTATAGAGGAACAGCCTTACGATCACAACGTGGATTTATGGTGAACCGGCTCGCGTCGCGCGTAGAAATATTCGACGTTGCGCGCACGCGTATACGAATCCTTTTTGCTTCCAGGTCGCTCGGCTGTATCGTGTTCGAGATAGTTACCGGTGCGCCACCTTTCAATACAAATTCGATTTTACACTTGATCAGATTGATAAGAGACGTACGGATAAAGTGGCCAGATTTTATTTCCGATAGCTGCAAGAGTTTCCTACAGGTCGTAAACAATTTTAATACTTGCAACGCTTCGATATCAAAGATTCTCCGTTTTTTCGTTCAAACTGACGTTCCGATGATACGCGTTTGCAAACACAGAGACTACTGCAGAAGGATCCGTCGCGAAGGTTGACGTGGCCCGCCCTTTTGGTGGATCCATTCGTGAAGGACGGAGTCCTGATAATCGACGGAGACGCGAACAACGCGTCGCTAGCGACGAAGAACGATTTAACGAAAGACGACTCCGTACCGCGAAACAACAGTTTATCCGATTGGAATCCAACGATGGTCGAAAGTAATATCGAAAACGAAGAATGGATCGCGTTCTTGCAGAAATCTATGGAGGAAATCATGGACGGCGAAATGGATTCGTTGCTGCAACAAAATTGTGTCTCGGTATTCGTGTCACCGCTGAGAAATCCACGGGCCAGTTGTCGAGTCGTGAAATACGTAGCTTGTCTTCTCTCGTTACCGTTCGTCGTCTCGAACGGTCAGCCGAAAGACTGTCTCTCGAAAATCGAGAAAATATATTTGGACGTTTGGGTCGTACCGAATCTTGTGTTCGCACTGAAACTTTTCATGTTCAAGGAGTCCCGTAATACGAACAAGACCTGTAAATCTGGGAACACGGATAGCAGTCTCGCGACCAATTGGAACGCGAACCGCCTCGAAACCCTGGAACACGCGATACTTTTGCTTTGCAGGCTAATTCACAATCAGCAGAGATTTCTGGCTCAGTTTTGCGACGCGATCTATCTCGTCGATGGAATCGAGTTTCTAAAAGAATTGTTAAAATTGAGGGAGGAACGGATTCTCGGTAATCTCGTTGCGATTTTTAACGAAATACTGCGATCTCAGCCCGAAAACGCGAATCTAGTGAAAACCGTTGTTCTAATCTGGGATAAACCGGGTAAGCAGGAACGCGTCGCGCGAGGCAAAACGAATTCGCGATTCGCGCTATTCGTTTCACCTCGTGCCGAACGTCGGAACGTTCGACTCTCGCGACTCGAGATCGAATCACCTTTTCGATCTTTCGACAGAGGACGCAGCGGTGATGCTTTGCCGCCTCGTAGCGGCCTCGGACGACGTAACAGCCGCAAGATGTTGCCGTTTGATCCGACTGCTGGGCGGATGTTTTCGCACGACATTGGAAAGCGTATGGTCGAACGTGTTGAACGTCGGTATACTGAGTGCGAAAACGTTGAACGACATCGGTCCAGAGTTTCCCGAAGTAAGCGACACAGGATCGATTTCTCTCGATATCGATTCGAATCCGAATTCCGGCGAGTTCGAACGGTCTGTCGATTTTCAGACCGGCGACGAGACGAGGGCACTTTCCGCGATCGAAGATCGATGAATCCTATCGCGAGGGACAACGCCGACCACCGCGAAGCAGAGCCATTGTCCATCGATTCCTGCAATTTTCTCACGATTTTCCGTTCGAGCTCGGTATCTTCGTTTGTACAGAAAAAAGGATTAAAGAAAAAGTATCTTTTTAAAAATATGGTTTTCTCGTCTTCTCGGCGATGCAACGAATCGAGCATTTTATTATCCGACATTTCATTGACTGACAGAGAAAACGGAGAAGACAGCGGCGGCGTATAGAGGCATCGGAGGGAACGAAAGTAACGTTCGATCCCGTCGTGGAAGAAAAGTGCGAAAGAAAGGGATCTCTCGTTCACGGGTTCCCGTTGCGTCATCGGTTGCGACACTCTTCCTCGTACATCGCTCGCAACTTGAGCACGTCCTTCTCGCTAAGACCCTTTCGTTGCCCGAGCTTCGCTCCTTTTTTCTGCGTAACAAGTAAGTGCATCGTACCTCGTCTATATTATTCGGAACGCGTCGACCAGCCGGTACAGCGTAGCGTGTACACACGGTGTTGTACATACTTTTGGAGTAATGGTCGGTTCGCCGTTTTTCGAAAACGCGTGAGAACTGTAGTGCATCACGCTGGCGTAGTCGTAGCCGATCCCGTAATCGGTAACGGTCCGATTGTCGTATTTGTTGAAATTGTGTTCTTTGCCTGGAAACGGAGCGAAGGATGGGTCGACGGAGAGGAGGACGGCCGAAACGATCTTACTCACCTGGTTTCACGTTCGTCCAATTTATAACGACCCACCGGTCGCGATCCGCCGCGCTCTGTTGGTGATAAAAGCCCAGCGCGTGCATCAATTCGTGAACGATCACGCCGTGGTGCACGCATCCTGGACTTTGTAAATTCAATACTTGCCCGCGATCGTGTCGACCGACCAAAGACCAACACCCGGACGTTTTCCCTTCTATCGCGACGTAGTCGACGTCCGTCTTCTCGTAAGGTCGGAAACGTATGCACGTGCTCTCGTGGTACTCGTCCATGGCGCGTTCGATCAGCTCGATCTCTTCTTCGTCTGCGAACGCGACGCGCAACCGTGAAACGACGAAACGTCGAATCCTGTTTAGGGATCGATCGACGAAAGCATCCAATTACCGAAATCTTCTTCCTTTATATGGTACGGTACTATTCCGGCGGGCCAACGGGACGCGGTCTTGACCAAACCGTTCTTCGATTCGACGTCTCCTTCCTCCGACGGGTACAGCATTATGTCTCCTTCGAACAGGCCGCTCAGTTCCCAGAGATTCTCCCTGTCCTCCCTCGACCAAGACTGTATACGGTTTGCTGTCGCGAACAAAGGATGTAACGGTACAACGCGTTCCGAACAGAACAGATTTCGCCTAGGTAGAAAGAGATTCGTCGTCGATCGATCGATCGATCGATCTCGCGTTCGTTTACCAATGATTCGATGCGCGTGCGTTTCGTCGAAGATGCCTCGGTGCTTCGGAGTCGGTGGAACCACCGGTACGTCGCCTCGTACCGTCGTCGAAGTTACCGTCGCAACCGATAGCAAGAAGACCGACAAGGAGAAGGACGATAACGATAACGTCGACCGCGTCGACGCGACATTTTTCTCGACGATTCCAAATTTCATATTGCTCCGGCGAAAGAGTCGGGGAAGAAGCAAACTGTGCACGCTACATACGAGCGTTCGAAAAGCAAACGACTCGCCGAATCGTTATATAGCCACGAAAATGCTCGCGTTCGAAGCATTTAACATCCGCTCCACGTATCCTGTTATCGACCGTTCCTCGACGAAACTCGTTTGCGACCGATACGGTCGAATCGCGTGCATCGTCGTCGTATTCGGTTTCCGTCGAACCTGTAAACCGCGAAACAACGTTTCCTCTCTCTTCCCTTTTACCGTTTTCCATTTTTCGCTCCCCCACGGAGAAACGACGGATCTTCGTTCGTGTCCCCGCCGCGGTAGACCGCTCGCATATTCGACCGGACGAACAAACGTTTTTCTTATCGTCGGGGCAAACGGTAATTTCTAACGACCGAAGCGATATCCATCGCTCTCGTTGATTTCGTTCCATGGCATAGTTCTCCACGCGCGACGCGTCGTCGTCGTCGTCGATATGCAAATTCATAGAATAATAACGACGGAGAGATCGCGACGCGAATATCAACTTGGCTTTTTATTCGTCTTATCTATTCGTGGTCGGCGGCGTATGTTTCGGCCGATAGTCGACGCGGTCGGGGCACGGCTTCGTCGTCGGCAGTTTCTTTACGAAGAAAATTCCCGACCTCCGTCGTATCGTGCTTCGAGCCGTAGTCGGGTTATCCGTCGCGGCTACGGCGAACGACGGACGGACGAACGGATGGAAATAGGAAAGAACGGAAGGTATCGCATGGATTCGTATCCGCGAATCGCCGACTCCGAATTCTCGAGACAGCCGGAGATCGCGGTATCGGACGTCGGATTGCGTCGACTATGTAGGTCAAAATGGTTCGGCACTCGGCCATACAGCTTGGCACGCGGGCGTACCGCGTCGTCTCGTCGAGCGTCCGGCGTTCGGTTTCCTAACTCGTATCGGAGAAAGAAGACGCGGGAGAGACGCTGCGGAGAATTCGGAACGATGGATATCGATAAATGGAAAAATGCGCGTTGCGCTTGATAAATCTTCACCGAAACAGCACCGAAAGCAGGGTCAACGACCCACCTGTTCCAGATTCGGGTGGCTCGACGTAGCCTAAATTCTAACCGGACCCGTTGAAACCGCGATCGGAGAGAATGGTTGTTTCGCGTTCGTAACATCGAACGCACATTTGACCGACGGTTCCGAATCGTATCGTATCGTATGGAACCGAAGTTTCCTTTCGTAAACGTGGATCGCGAGATCGCGCGTTCGATCGACACGACGATAGTCATCTTTTTACTTCTTATACCGTACCGTTGTACCCGAAACAACTACGACGATCGATGGTAACAACGTCAACGACGACAAAGACATCGGACGCGTGCTCGACGAACGTCGAGCGCGTCGCCGCTGGTGCTCCCTCGTGAACCACTGACCCACTGGGGCCATATGGAAACATCGGGACTCGGGACCGTCTCGAGCCTCGAGACGAGAATGTATTTCGGTAGCGGGTACATTGACCAAAAACCGATGTTCCTTCGCGGTTCGATGACCCCCTTCGGCCAGCCTCCTCCAGGCCCGTCCTATCTCGTTCTCTACTTTCAATTCCGTCTCTGTCGCCTCGAGCATCGACTGCTCGTACTCGTATCGCGCTCTCATCATCCCCCTTTACGTACTTTCTATTCTTTCGAGTGGCCGCCGCGAAACGGATAACGTTCGATTTACGCGGCACCTTGCTCGCGACGAACGTTTTCGAGAATATCTTTTGATCGCGACACGGAGCAGTCTTGTTCGCGATCCGACGACCGCGGCTCGTCGACGTCGAACGATATCGTTCGGTTGGCGAGCTTCGTAGCAGCGAGACGGCGAAAAATTCGATCGGTAGGAGGAAAACGAACGCGTACCGAACGGTACGTGCGAGTATGCGACTACCGGGCCGTTATCTAGCGAGTAGCGGATCGTTCGCGACGACATCTTCCCTTTCGCGAATCGTCGAAACGGTCCCTCCTCGTCCGTTTTCGTTGGCGTCGTCTTTCATTTTTTCGTTTTTCTATTCTCGTTTCTTCCACATCTTCCTTCCTTTCTTTCTTTCCACCCGTTGGACCGAAGTCCTTTCTTCGTCCAGGTCGACGTTCGATCGAAAATTTGTATCCGACACGCGGCATTGGAACACCGTCGGTCGAGTTTTTACGCGTCTCTCCTTTTTCTTCGCGGTCTCTCGCGCATCCCCTAGGTATCCCCCGATCGACCCCCTTCCCGTCGCGCGTTCTCGGTTCGCCTTCCTGTACGTCTCGTTTGTTCGCGAGTAACGAGTATTTCCAAGCTCTCGCGTCGGTCATACACCTGTAAGAGTGAAAGTGTCCTCCATCCCCACCAAAATTTGTGCCGCATAACCACGGTTGCGGATGCCGCCGTGTCGCCTCGCCTCGCCTCGCCTCGCCTCGCCTCGCTGGGTCGCCATGCCACCGTATCACCGTGCCGCGCCAAAACGAACCGAATCTCGTCGCTCCAACGTTACGATTATACATCCATATTCATCCATCGTCCGCATCTTCCCGTATTCGTAGAATATTATGCGGTATACGGTACCGGCGCATCCGTACCGGTCGACGGGGCGCTGCCGCGACAGTCTGCCTCGCCGCCGGTGCCTCTCTCGTTATTCGTTCGTCCATCGATAGCGTAATTGGCGCAATTTCGATTTTCAACCTCGAACGGAATCGAACGCGACCGATGGGATTGCCGAGGGTCGAATTCGAAAAACGAACGTGGCACGAGATGAAACGAAGATGCGCGCGTGCATCTACGTACACGTGTACGCGTACGCGCGTATAGGAATTTCTATCGGCCTATCGACTGTTCCGTGCGAAAATATATGCGGCACCTTGAGCAAGAGAAAGAAACGCGCCGGCGTTATTCGCGATCGAGGAGAGGTAATAAACCCAGAAACACCAGTTGGGGCCACTACACCCGCCTTCTTCGAGAGGGCAACGAACTCTGTCCTCGCACTGTATTACATTACGACCGATGTCACTCGGTATAGGTACACTCGTTCGCGACGTCTTGGCGCGGCACGAGTCGGTTGGTTTCTCCGAACCGTACCGCGATCGAATCGATATCGGTCGAGATCCGAAACTCGAAATCGAATCGTTCGGCGTCTTCGAAAGTATTCGCCGATCGAGTTTGTCCGGGCGGCCCCCGTTCGAACGTTCGCTCGGTCCAACGTCGATCGATCCGGCCGAGTCTATCGGCGCGAACCCGAATCTCGAACCGGCACTCGTCGTTCCGTTCGTCCTCGATACGATTTCGTCCCGAGCATCGTAGAGCATCGTAGAGCATCGTAGAGCATCGTAGCGCGTCGCGACTTCGCGCCGCGAAGCGTAAACAGCTTTTCGGTCGCCTCCCTCGGACGACGATATTTCTCGTCCGGATCGTTCGGTACGGCGGATACCGAACGGCCGGGCGGCATTCCTGTAAAGTACGAGAGTCGTGAAAATAGCGTATTAACGAAATTAGCATAAGAGGAGAAAGTCGCGGTCGTCGGCCTCTCGACCACGTTTGCTTCGAGTGCCGAATCTGCGGATTTTCGTACGCGCGGCGCTCGCGACCGAGCGGCGAGTCGGAGTTTACGCCGAAGACGATCGGCGAATCGGACGACGCGCGTCGCGACCCTCGCGAAACCGGTACACCGATATTTCTAATCGTACAAGGTCGAAGAGCGCTCCACCCTCGATCGGACTTTGCCAAAATCGTATCGATCGCATCGTTGTACGCGCGCGGTCCGATAGGTTTCGCGTTGCAGCAGCATCGGGCGAGCTTATCGATCCTCGTCGAAAAGAAACGACGATGTTTCGCGCGGCCAAAGAAAACGATCCCAGCCTTGATAACTGGATTCTGCCAATGACCCGAGTCGATCGTTGCTCCTCGAGCGGTCAACCACCTGCTCCCTCGATAAACGTTGTATCGCGTTCCGCGCGTCTCCTCAAAGAATCGTTTCTTTTCGCACAATTATCCGCGCTCTCGTCGATCGGCGAGCTTCGCTTTAAAAGTAAAAGTGGGTGGTGCTGCAGCGGCGCGAAGAAGTTGCGCGCACCGTTCGTCCGTGACGATCGGCGTATCGTAAAGTTCGTTATACCTGAAAGGGGATCAACGGAAGGTTATCGTTACCGGTGAATAACTCGCGACGCGACTCGACTCGACTCGACTCGACGGTCCTTGGAGAAAAATTCGTTTCATCGAACCCGAAGCAGTCGTCCTTAAGACGAATGAAAAATGATTTCATTACCGCAGGAGTTTGCGCGCGGCCTTTCGCAGGGACGGATTCGTCGCGAGACGAGTAGAACGCGCGAACTGGTCGTTCGTCGACGAAAGAAGGCATAAAGTATCTCGGAAACGTCGCGTCGTTGCGAAATCTATACGAAATCGGTGAAAGATCGAAGGTTCCGATCCGATCGGAGCGCGTGCTCTCTGGCCCCGTCGAAACAGCGAGTCCGGATTTCGACCGCGATCCTGCGCGGTTCGAGGAAAGGAGTCGGCACGCTGGGCATCCGGGTTATAGGGTTGCCACCCTTCGATTCGATTCGCGTATCGACGTCGCTCCGATTCGTTTCGCGCGCGTGCCGGAAACGGTTCGAAAACGGTCGACGTTATCGAAGGATTACATTCGACTTATCGATACGATTCGAATCGCGACCGTTGCACGTTCTCCGCGAGAGCGTGCAACGGTGTCAGCGGTCGGCGCTTGTTTCGGGCACGTACGCGGTTTCGTATTCGTTACCGTCGCGGCGAGCCGCGCCGCGCCGCGTCCGATGCATCGACTCGATCTTTACCGTGTCGTAGCGGTACCGCGACGCGGAGTACGCGTACATCGGTACCCGATTTCTATCGTCGATTATGCTTCGTTCCCGTTCGTCTATATGTATACGCGTGTACGTATATTCGACGAACCTACCGATAGATGGATATCTAAAAACGGAATCTCCTACGCGACCTTTGCCGACCAAGGGGGGAGAGGGGCAGAGAGAGAGAGAGAGAGAGAGAATAGGAAGGAGTGGGGAGAGAGGAAGGGAGAATGAAAGAGAAAAAGAGAGCGAGGACGAACGAGAGAGAAACGTGGATGCATCGAAAAGTGAAAACGAACGAAGGGGCGAAGGGCGTTCGAGCAGGTACACGGGGAACGACCGTCCGCGCGGTAAAGGAACGACGAGTGGGCATCAGGTATCCGAGAGTCGGCGATCTCCGAGCTTAGCAGTTTGGTAAGTTTGAACGCACGGCGTCGTCGTTTCGTTTCGTGCACGGAACTGGTTAACTCTTTAAAGGCGGAAAAGGAAGGCGCGGAAAAAGACGAGGACGAAGAAGAAGAAGAAGAAGCGGGTACGTATCGACCTTAGAATATATAAATGTTGAACGGTTCGATCCGTCCCTGTCCGAACGCGTCTCGTCGATGCATTCGATAGTCGAACGAGACCGCTTCTCGGTATCCGTTGTCGTCGGAGAGACAAAAGCTTACGGGGCGACGAGGCATTCCGCGCGGTCGTGCTCGTGCTCGTGGTCGTGGTTGTGATCGCGATCGTCCAGTTTCGAAGACGATCGTTCGTTCGCTAGCCGATATCGGTGTTTTCGATACCGATAGTCGCACCCGTGATTTTCGATCGGAACAATCGATAGAAGCGGATTTCGGTATCTCGGTAAGGCGCCGAATCGGTTGGGATTACGGGTAAAGAGCACGTGTATCGCCACGCGCCGTACAATATTCTACGCGTGAACGGCGGAACACGTGCCGGCGCGGCGAATAAATGCGCGCTGTTAGAAGTTACGACTCTTTTCCGTGATTCGGTTTTACGACGCGCGACGGGTCGGCATCGTTCGTTCGCTGAATTTTCCGTTCTCCGCGACACGCTGCATCGCGCGCTCGCTCGACGCGTGCTCGACGCGTGCTCGACCGACCAAACGGGACGAAGCCGCGTACGACGTTTCTTTCATTTGGAAGCGAGCTATCCTCGTTCGTCATTTACTGTTTTCAGTAGGATCGGATCGTTGGACGGAGTACCCGATACATAGATCGGCGCGCCGATCGATCGAACCGTTCGAGCCTGCTCGGGTTTGGAGCGCGTCGGCGAGAAGGATTCGTACCGCGATCGCGATGAATCTTCTCGTTTGCACGATATTCCTCGCGTCCCTCTTGCTTCTGGCGTATCTGTACGATAGAAGCCGGAAGAAGGTGGCGCGTCGCCTTCCTCCCGGGCCCTGGCAACTTCCGATCGTCGGATACCTTCCGTGGATCGACGCGAAGAAACCGCACGAAACTCTGACCAGACTGGTCAGAAGTTACGGGCCCGTTTGCGGGCTTCGCATGGGTTCCGTCTATACCGTTCTCCTCTCCGACCCTCGTCTGATCAGGGAGGCCTTCGCGCAGGACGCGTGTACCGGTAGAGCACCGTTGTATCTCACCCACGGAATCATGCAGGGATACGGTAAGACGCGTATCGACGCAACCGCGATAGACGTCGATTTCCGATTACCGATTTCCGATTACCGATTTCCGATTTGTTCGCGCAGGCCTGATCTGCGCCGAGGGCAATCGATGGAAGGACCAAAGGAAATTCGTTAGCCGTTGCTTGAGAAATTTTGGTATGGTGAAGCACGAAGGTTCGAGGCGCGACAGCTTGGAAGAAAGAATATCGCGTGCCGCGGACGAATGCGTATCGGTATTCTTGAACGTTTCATATTTTTTCATAGTTTTCGAATTGCTCGAGAATACAACGCGTATACACCGTTCCGTTCGCGGGGCGCGCGACGTTTTCAGAAACTCGGTCAACGTTCGTCGAACGGACCGATCGATCCTATGGACACGTTGCACCATTGCATCGGCAATCTGGTGAACGATATCGTTTTTGGAAAGACCTACCCCGAGGACGACGGAGTTTGGAAGTGGTTGAGGCATTTGCAAGAAGAAGGAGTCAAGCATATAGGCGTCGCTGGACCGTTGAACTTCCTACCTCTCCTCAGGTATTGGTTCGGGGTTCGTTCCGAGCTCCCGACCCCGACCCCGACGTTCGATTCCGATAAATGCGCATAACGAACGTTTCCTAGATTTTTACCACGATTCGGCGAAACGATACGATCCATCCTCGATGGAAAGGAGAAGACTCACGAAATATATCGCGGCATACTCGAAGATCGCCGCGGCCGCGGCCGCGGCCGCGGAACCAACGGCGCGACGAGTCTTCCTACGGACGACGAGAACTTTTTAGCCGCGTTCGACGAACGGATGAGCAAGGAGACGACGGCCGAGGATAATTATTACACCGAACCGCAACTCTTCCATCTGCTGGCCGATCTCTTTGGCGCCGGAACCGACACGACTTTGACGACTCTGCGCTGGTTCATCCTCTTCTTGGCGGTCCATCCGAAAGAACAGGTAGGTTCGACCCGAGTAGCCCGCGCGCGTGCTCGCATCTACCCTCGAACGATTTCTAGGAGAAGCTTCGGGAGGAGATGGACCGATGTTTGAACGAAACGGAGTATCCGAGCTTGAAGAGCAGACCCTCGATGCCGCGCCTCGAAGCAGCCATGGCCGAAGTGCAAAGACTTCGCAGCGTCACCCCGTTGGGTATTCCGCATGGAACGTTGGAGGTGAGAACCGAAATGAAACTATCGATTCTCGTCTTCCTCTATTTTCCTATTTATTCCCGTATTTCTCGCTCGTAGGATACTCGGATCGGCGGATACGATATCCCGAAGGGCGCCATGATCGTGCCGATGCAATGGGCGGTTCACACCGATCCGACTTATTGGCCGGATCCTCTCGAATTTCGGCCGGACAGATTTCTCGCGGAGGACGGCAGCTTCTTCAAGCCGGATTCGTTTCTCCCCTTTCAAAGCGGTAATCGCGTATTTCGCGTCTCGAACTCGATTTGCCGCTCTTCTCGAGCGTTTTCGCCGACGCTCGATCCTCCGAACGTCGATCGGCGATCGGCGATCGATCGAACAGTTTTAATCGCAAAGCGGTTCGATTGCAGGAAAGCGCGTCTGCGTTGGAGAAGAACTCGCGAGAATGACATTGTTTCTCTACGCTGGAAGGATTCTCCGAAAGTTCGACGTGTCCATACCGCCGGACGAAACCATCGATCTCGAGGGCGACTCTGGTATCACGCTGGTTCCGAAGCCTCACCGACTGATGTTCGCCGAAAGACGTCGATAACGGACGAGTGCTCGTTTCCGCTTCGTTCGATCGATCGTTCCGAATCGATCGCGACCCAACATTTTATTTTCCAAAGCGTTTCTGTAGTCTATGTAGGCTGAACGTTTTTCGTTCTCGTTAAATACATTCGTTTCCCATGCCCGTGCGTATACATACCCCGCGTACACGCGATCTTGCGTGGACATTGTTGAAAAAGGCACAGGTTTTTTTTGGGCCGGGCGGATTCGGAGCATCGTTGATCGAATCCGCGCAGCTGACAAAAGTTCTCGTTATTCGCGGAAGCATCGTGGCGTTGCAACGTCGAAGCGTTCGAGCATCGAAACGCTCGGTTTCGCATGGTCGGATTTGGTGCGCGCCGCGCATTTACATGCAGCATCGCCCTTCTTTCGACTCTGTCCCGTGGAGGTTGTTGGAGGAGGTAATATCGGAGAATCAGCAACGCGCGCGCGCGCGCGCAGCTCGAGAAACAACAAGTTTAATCGTAAGAAAAGAGAACAATATTAAATAACATCGATTCGCGGTTAGCGGGTGAACACACTAGAGAGCGGTAGTCCTCGTTTCGAGCATACCGCGCTTAACTTTCTTACCAGGGAACACGGTCGGAGCACCGACACGGCCCGTACCACGCATCCACGTATAACATCTATACGCATACGCGTATATGCATACGCGTATGCATGCACGCGCGTGCGGCGCGCAACGCTTGGAAAGAATCGCACGGAGCTTCGTCCGTGTTCCGTGACTCGCACTACAAACTCTTTGGAAATGATTTTACGATCGCGATATCACACGGACCACGAAGATCCAACATCCTAAATTCGTGATTCACAGCCTCAATTTTTGTTCGCGCTCAACGCGGATCGACGACTTCGACGTAGCTTTTCAATTTTTTACGCCGCGCGATCGAACGACCCACGTTCGTATTCGCGTAGCCGCGTCGAAACGCGAGATCCACCGTTTCAAAGTTTCAACCGAAAAGTCACGTTTTCGTCGAAGATCCAACTTGCATCGATTCGATCGTACAAAGTAGAAAAACTTTCGGACGGTAGACGAACGAGAACTCGCGGACGAAGAGAATCTCGCGCTGTCATCGTCCGCCATGATCTCCCTCGTTCGCTTATTCGCTTATTCGCTTATTCGGTTATTCGGTTATTCGCTTATTCGCTTATTCGCTTATTCGCTTATTAATTCGAAAATGCACACGCGTATGGTACAAGTATGTACAAATTTCAAGCGCGCGCTCGTTAAACAGTTTTGTCTTCGTCGCTTGTTCTCGATAAACGCGTCGGCTTCTTCGACGGATCGATCGATCTTACGTTACGACAGTTACCACGATCGATTCGCATCGTCTTTCTCGGTACCACCATCTTCCGTCGTCGCGCCCTACGACCGAGAGCGCGTACCCTCGTATTCCTACCAATTGTTCGCTACTGTTACCACCGTTATCGTTACCGTTACCGTTACCATTCCTACCTACTGCTACTGCTATCATCGCTGTCATCGTTACCATTACTATCTTCGTTATCGCTCTTATTATCAACTATCGTTTTTTTATCGATTTCTATGGACAACATTTTTCTCGTTATCGTTGTCATCGTTAAAACGACGCAACGATTGCGAGCTTTGGAAGAGTCGTTGTTGCTCGTCGTGCTCGCCAGCCGGCGTACGACGATCGTTCGCGATCCAGCGTTCGTTCTCCAAAATGTTTTGAACGGTCGACGACCGAACGCGAATAAATAGCAACTGAAACGAATGTGTTCGATCGTTCGGCGTCGGAGTAACGAATCGAGAACGAGGGATGGCCAATGCTAACGGATCGACCAAAAACCGTCGTTTCATTTCTATGCAGAATTTCTCGTAACGCTCGCAGCAATAGTTGTTTAGTTGGTTTCGTCGTCGACCTCGAGACCGGGACCGGGATCGGGATCGAAACCGGGACCGAGATCGGGACTGGGATAGGAACGACTACCGTGCTCCGTCGATCGTTGGGAAGCCAACGACACAAAGAACAACGAGTTCTCAATGACCGGCGACGTTTCGTAAAACGGCGCTCGAGGCGATCGATCGGTTGCTCGCGTCTTCGATAAGCTCGAGATTCCTCGGTACCAGGCAAACGTGAAAAGGATCCGGCGTGACGGTAGCACCGGCGTTACCGCGCAAACTCGGCAACGACGCGCCAGCCGGCGATCTCAATTGAAAAGTATGCATCAACGAGCTGAAGAACAGAAATAATTCCATGCGCGCTAAGACGTCGCCGAGGCACATACGTCTGCCGACACCGAAAGGCATAAAGTATTCCGGTTTCTGGACTTTACCTTCGGCCGAGAGAAATCGACTCGGCCGAAACTCCTCGGGCGCCTCCCAAAGTTTCGAATCCATGTGTACCGCGTGCAGCAAAGGCACGACTTGCGATCCAGCCGGGATCGTATAACCGTCCAACGTCACGTCCCTGTAATCAATCGTATCATTTCCAAATCGATTAGTTTTCCTTTTTCTCGTTCCGCGATTCCCGCGACGACCGAAACCGCTGCCGCGTTCCCGTTCGTCTTTCCCCGGCAAACGCGCTCCCTGACGCAGCCTCTCCCCGATACACGCGTATATTTCTGTTTCGCGCGCGCGCGCGCGCGCGATCGATCGTTGCGACGAAACGTAGACGCGAACATTTCGAGACAATCGATTCGAAGAACGTTCGATAAAGCCGAAAAAGAGTAGGATGGGAAAAATAATTACCGTGTGGTCGCATGAGTGGTTCCCAATGGCACCACGCTCGATCTTCGAAGCACCTCGAGAATCGTTGCCTCCGTGATCGGAAGAAAAGGTAGATCCTTCAGAGCCGGCAATCTACAGTCGCCCACCACTTGATCCAACTCTTCCCGTACCGCGGTCGCCGCTTCCGGATGATGCAGCATCAGTACGATCGCCCATTCCAGCGTGGTCTTGATCGTTTCCATGCCGGCGGAGAACAAGTCTCCGAGAATTTGTTGCATCTGTCGGTCTGGTTGGAAACGAGAACGATCGGGTACTCGCGAGCTTCTAAGGCGATCGGGTGCGTAACGACGACGAGCGAGACCGGATGGGGTAGGGGATAGGGTTCCCGGGGGTGGGGGGGGGTCGGGGGGGGCGACGCGACGCGACGCTTCTACTCACCGTGATTTTTTCCTTGAAAGAGCATCGCCGCGCGACCTTCGCCCTTCGCCTTCTCGATCTCGAGCAGATACGTGTCGACCAAGTCTCGAACGGTGCCCTCGTCGAAGGTTGCGCGATGTTGGTCGACCGCCTCTTGATAAAAGTCCGCCATCTCCGCCCGATTCTCCGACAATTTGTTTCGTACCTTTTGCAGGCAGGGCAGATAACGCATCACGGGAATAAAATTCACCGCGGCCATGCTCCCGAACAATTTGAAACCTTCCTCGATCAAGTGCATGAATCTGCTGAATCTGGTGTCGCCGTGTTGGAAACGCACTCCCATCAAGATCGAACAAATCACGTTGCTAACCGACATTCCAAGAGACGCCGAAACGTCCATCGGTGCACCTCGTCGCGACGCCAGTCCTCGAAGAAACGTCTTCACCTCGCGCTACAAATACAAACGAACGTGTTTCACTTTCCCGACCGAGAGTCGAGGGGATTAGCGAAGAAAGCTCGACGATCCGAGCAGCGCGAGCAGTTTCGATACAGTCCGAGAAGTCTGAGAAAAACGACGAGCCCGAAAATCCATGGGAAAAGTGAAGACGAGGCGAGACGAAAACATCTATCTACAAGGTGCGCTCACCATAATTCTCGATTCCATAACTTTCTTTCCACCACCCATATAGGTCATGCCGAAGCTCCTGAGTTTATCGTGAAGAAATTTTCTTTGCTCTTTCCACATTGCACCCTCGGTGTTGATAATACCTACGAGAAAAAAAAAGGATTCTTCTATTCCTCGAGTTCAAAGGAAACGAGCATCAAAATTCGAGACGAGCCTTTGAATCGTTGCTACGCGCGATAAATAACCTTTCTGTGCTCAAACTAACGTACGGAATCGAAAAAGATTGGTGACGCGGAAAATCCTATCTAAGAAAGAGGAAACACAGCGAAACGTGGTCAAAGTTGGAACAGCGTAGAAAACGATTAGAAACGGTCGGGGGATCGACGGGGAAGGGAAGAAAGGGAGACGGATCGAGGAGAGAAAAAAGAGAAAGGCCACCGTTTCGACCATCGATATCTGCATCGAACGCGAGGAAGCACAAATGCGAGACCGAAGAAATAACGCGAAAACGTAGCAGCGCTCGATTATCGCGAGTACGCGCTAACGAGAGATTGGCGGAGCGTAGGATACAGAGTTAGAGAGAGAGAGAGAGAGAGAGAGAGAGAGAGAGAGAGAGCAGAAGAGCAACACACTGTGATCGGGTTCGATCGCACACTTACCATATCCACCGAGGATGTTGATGAACTCGGTATGCGGTCTTCCAGTAAATTCTTCGCGACGAAACGTGTCGCGTATGGTACGATGATCGCTGAGTACGACTACGAGTTGCGTTCCTAAACGTGCACTGAACATAGGGCCGTACCTTTTTGCGAGTTCGCCGTACTGAAGATGAACGTCGCCCTTCAAGAACGGCAGATAACCGAACACGGGTACGCCCCAAGGACCCGGTGGCAAGGAACGCACGTATTTAACCCATTGCAAACATCTTGCCGCCAATAGCGCACCGAAGAACACGAGAAACGTACAGAGGACATCGATTCTTGTGCCGCCCATCGCTTGCCAAGTCCACTGTGCCGCGTATTCTACCAGCATCGTGACGATCGGTCGTAACTTCGGATTCGCTTATTTAGCTTTTCTCACTCGAAATTCTTCGATTTTTGATATTTCGAGATTCTCTATCGATACTTCGATGAAATCATCGGGCTCTTCGGTTGTTGCGTCGTCGAGCGTCAAATATCGAACGTCGGGTATCGAGAATCGGGAGTCGGGAATTCGACGAACCTTTCCTCTTTTTACCTTCCTTCTTTCCTCTATTTCGATTTGTATCCTTCTATCGGCGCTTTCGTTCGCGCGTCCCGGACACGTCAGCTTTTCGTCGATGTTATTTCGTCCCGCTGTTTTCACGAGAGCAAGACAGACGCTCGCGCGCGACTTTCCTTTTCGACGCGACGTTTCCCCGATTCGTGGCTACGAATGTCAGTGTCGATCCGGCTTTTCGGTCATAATTCCGAGAGGAGAACGCGCGCTAGGTGAATACGGGTGAACGTTCGAACGCGAGCGTTTCGTTACGATCGCTCGCCGGACGATCGTCGGAGTCGCTTACACGGTCGTTCGAAGATTCCAGGGAGATCGGAAGTCTCGATCGGATACGAACGGTATCGGAACAGGCCGCGAGACCAAGACGAGCGAAACGAGGGAGAGATGGAAGCGGATGGAAGACGATTCGAAGGCTGACGATTCGGTAGGACGCGAGGGCGAACGACAACATTGGGAGATGAATAGGACGAAATCGAGGGAATCGGGGAAGAACGACGAGTACAGAAACGAACGGAATACAGGGGCCGAAACGATTAGGACGGGAAAAAAGGAGACGAGCGGGAGGAGTGGCCGAGAATGGGCGAGAATGGGCGAGAATGAGAGAATGGAGGAAAGAAAAAAAGTCGGTCACCGCCGCAGCCGAATTTGCCGGCGCTCGCTGTATCGTGAGTCGTGCGAGCTACGTAAAGATTGAGTGTACACTAACATACACCTTCTTGTCCTTGCCCGTCTTATATAGTGACTCATCGAGCACCGGCCCCCCAGCGGCTCTAAATGGTCCCCCGGATGCCTCCCAATTGCCCCCGGCAGTCCCGGCAGTCCCCGGCAGTCCCCGTTCGTAGTGGGGCAGCGCCACAAAGAGAAGCAGAGAGGAACGCGATGGAGAGGAAAGAGTCGAGAAAGACGGTGGACAGTCGAACGGGTTACGCGACGAGTCGCGACGCGACGCGATAAGACGAAACAAAACGAAACGAGACGAGACGAAACAACACCGGACAAGACAACGGTGGGGATAAAGCGCGAGCTCTCGGGTTCAGGGTGGTGGATGCTTCCGGCGAGGGTGCGAAGGTGGGCACCTTGTTCCTCGGTCTCGTTGGTCGAAAACCTCGAGGACTCGTATCGATGAACATCGGTGGGGGGCTCCGGGCCCCCTGCAGCCTTGCGAGGCTCTCCAAATATTATCGGTCCGTAAGTACTCGAGCGCGTGCGCGTCTGTGCGTCCGTAGCCCTGTATTCCCGTATTCCCGTATTCCCGTATTCCCGTATTCCCGTATTCTCGTATCCCCGTAGCGGAGATCGCTACCATCGAACTCGACGACGAGTATCTATCTCTCCGATCGATTTGCAAACGATCCGTATCGGATCCCCTATCCGATTCTACTTTAATTCTCTTCCCAGAGAACAAATCCGGCAAAATGATTTCGCGAAAACCGTCGACAACGACGATCGACTTTCGCACGAAAACGAACGCGCGTCGATTCGCTTTAATTTCGATCCGAAACGATCCGTCGACGCGTTCGCGGATTGTTCGAAAATCGAGATTTCTTTCCATAGGTATGAACGGTTCTTAATTTAGCGGTCCACGCTGACCCAGACGCGGTCTCTACCGAACAGTCGCGGTTCTTCGGCGGCTGGGTCATTGACCCAGTTTGTATTCTTACTCGATAGCCACGTCCGGTTTTCACCATGGACGGTACCAGAAATATCCCTTTTGCCGCCGAGGACGAACATTCACGGAGCGATACTCTCCAGCGAACATTCCTTTCGGCGACGAGAATCCCATAGCCGTTGCCGTCGAAACGCGTCGACCGCGACCACCCTCCGCGCATCGAGATTTCGATTTCTTACCGAAAACTCGATGCGATCGTATCGTTCGAATCAACGTTTTCACGTTCACTCTGGAAATTGCTGGCACCCGACGCAACGCTAATCGATGTCCGGTTTCGCGAGTTTTCTTTCTACTCGTACGTTTCAGAGAGCGTGGAACTCGTTCGAATCGGTTTACGGTTTACAGGACCGTTCGACCACGACTACGCTACACCGGCGATTCGCCGTGGCTCTGCAGAATTCGATTCCTCGAAATGCTCGTATCCGTCGCGATTTCGTTCGCGACAGCTTTTGCGATCCAACGTGCTCGCGCGGCAGTCCGCGGGTCCGAGTACGGCGCGCCGATTCGCCGGCTTCGAACGATTCGAGCACCGGACAGCCGAATACCGAATACCGAATACCGAATACCGAATACCGAATCACGATTCTCGCGGACGCCGGCCCTAGAAACTCGGAGCGTTCCGAAAACGCGGACGGATTCGGAGAATCGTTGAAGCGGAAGTGTTCGTTTCGCGGTTGCGGCCGCGCCAAGTTAGCGACGCGACGGGACGCCAAACGATTCGAAACCGATCGAGAACGTCGGAGGGTTACGGTGTGCGGTACGAGCGACGATATTTCGAAATAACGACGATCGATGTGACAAGCGATCGATCGTATCGCGGCGATAGCTGAATTAAACCGTCGCGGAGTAGGATAACGCTGGAAAAACGGAAAAACTGGTATGCCGCCGTGTATTCGCGTGCTCGTACTACACTGTTACAACTGTTACGGGCGGTGAGCACGCGTGCAGGCAAACGTGATCGATTCTTTGATCGTGCGCATACGCGAGAAACAACTTGCTCGCGTAATCAAGCCTGCAATTTCTGATTGTTTACATGCGAGGGCATTGCCCGGATGCCGTTTACCTTACGTACATTCCAGGTGTTACCACTCCCTCCTTCGCCTCCTACCGCTTTCAGCGCACCTACGACGCGTATACGTATCGCATACGATACGCTCGCGATCATCGGATTTGCCCGGCGTGGTTGCGCGGCGGTAACCACCGCCGCAACCGCCACCCACCGTCACCCACCGCCACCGCCACACCGCCACCGCCACCGCCACCGCCACCGCCACCGCTTTAGCGAGTCGAACCGACTAACCGGTGTCTAACGAGCGAGAACCGATCGAGAAATTCTTCGGCGCGAAGACCGATAATCCGGTATCCGTGATCCATCGGCCGCGTTTACATCGCAGCTTGGATAGCGTTAGGTTCTGGCCGACTACGCATCCCCGATCGGACTATTTGTATTTCTTGGTTCGAATTCGATACCTGCTCCGTCGTGGCCTCGATTTCTCCTCGTACGATGCGTCCAGAACCGATCGAGTGTACCGACCTTTCGATTACCGAATATCGTCGAAATCTTTATCGGCGCGATCGTACAAATCTTTCTTTTACTTTCCTTTCGTCTTCGATCTCGAGCTCGTGTTTCGATGCAGCAGCAGCAGCAGCAGCGTGCCCGTTGTTCTCGTTGCTCGAGCTGTACGACGAATCGTCGCTATACATTTAGATACATTAAACGCGGCGTGTCTGGTGAAAGGTTGACTTGTTCCCCGTGTAAACGTGGCGAGGAAAACAAACGGTACAGCTTGAAACCTGTACGGATCGGATCGGATCGGATCGGATCGGATCGGACTGGATCGGATCGGATCGGCGACCAAATTTGCTAATCGCGAGCGCAGTTTGCGCAGGAAACGCATCGTCGATGGAAACGAGCAAAGGGTTCGCTGGCAAAACGTGTTCGAAGAGCTCCGAATTCTCGACGGCCGATCGAGCGCATATACGAGCGCATATACGAGCGCGGGTGAGAGCTCGTGCTCGCGCGAGCCGATCCATCTTCGAACGGGTTTCGGTTCTAACGGCTAATAACGGACCTTAACTAGTCGGGCGCGAGAAGGCAGTTTTTGGACCGTCCGTTATTTCTTGTCCGGGTCGTCCCTCGAACTATGTACACTCGAAAAAGTCTTCCCGAACCGCGTCGCGCGGTTCGATCCGTTAGAAACCGTAACGAGTAGAATAGGGCGCGCGGAAGAGCGTAAAAGAGTGCGCGCGCGCGCGCGCGAGAACGCGCTACCGGCCAATTCGGCGGATTAAAATCCGACTGCTCGCAACGGTTGAAAGTTGAAAGTTGAAAGTTGAGAGCCGAAAGTTGAAAGTTGCAAGTTGAATGCAATTGCGCCGAGTTTGCACCGCTCCGTAGGTTTGCGCGTCGTTGCGACTAAAACGACTAGGTCTGAAAAACATTAAGCCGTAGAACATACGCGGAACAAACTGCGACACGTATTGCGAGCACGTGTAATACGTGCGAGTACGTAACAGTCGGGATAATGCCGGGTGAAGGACCGAACGTACGATGCGTTGGACGGATGAACTGGTTGTCCGATTGCTCGGTTGCTCGGTTGCTCGGTTGCTCGGTTTGTCGAATGGCATTTATCGTGTATCGTTTATCGCGTATAGCATACAGTGTACAGTGTATCTCGTGTGCTCGGTTGCTCGGTTCCTCGGTCTCTCGATCGCGCGCGCCCGTTACCATCACTGACCACTGCCAACGGGTCGATAACCCCGGACCTCTTTCGCAGCCGAAATTTTCGATCGCTCGTTCCGTAAAGCGAACCCCGGCGAATACGCCGTCGTTTCTGTAAATTATTCGCGCCCGGCTATCCTCTGTTCTCGTTTCGTTCCGTTTCGCTCGACTTTGTTCGTTTCCCGTAAATCGACCACGCCGTCGACAGCTTCCGCTTCACCTCGGGCTGTTCGTGCTTCGAAACGAATTAGCTCCTTGAGAATTCGGCGAACCTTTCTACTCCGGGTTGCTATCGGAGGACACCTCGTAAGAAACGGTTTCGTCGCGTCGATATATCGCCAAACTTTCTCGTTGATGTGTCCGATCGAGCAACGGACCAAACGATTCTACTTTTAAACGTAACAGAATCCAGTATGTTATGTAACCAACGCAGAAAGTCAATGGCCAAACTGCTCGATCGGCCGATATAGCGCGGCACGATGTCGTTCACGAAACCGATTCCGAGTATCGTTGCCTACGGTTCTCGTCCGAACTCTGAATTTGCCGAAAGTACGCGTTTCTCGAGTCGTTTTCGACCGTATTACACGCATTCCCTCGTTTCCGGCGTTTCGATCGTACCCAACCGAATAAACTCGAATCGAATTTGCCTCACAAAAATTGGCTGAAGAAAATTCTGGTTATATCGTACTCGTAACCGATGATCGCGTCGCGTCGCGTCGCGTCGCGTCGCGTCGCATCGCATCGCATCGCATCCCAGCGCGTCGAGCCGCGCCTCTCCGCGTCTTGTCGCGCCTCGCCTCGCCTCGCCTCGCCTCGCCACGCCGCATCGCCGCGTCGCGTCGATCGAACGTTCGACGTTACGTTCAAAAGTTGATCAACGAATTCGCGGTTATGCCGATACTCGCGGACAATACGCAACTATACGATCGATGACTGGAACGATGACGACGAAACGAGTTCGGGCGAATAACGTAAACACCTCCGAGTCCGAACGAAGGAGCGAGCTCGGGTGAACGACCGACAAACTAGTCTAAGTGCTGTACACGCAAACTATCTGCTCTTGGTAAATACTGGTAGACCGTCGTCGCTGTTACGATTCAAACTGATTCATCGATGTCAAAGAATTACGAGAGTAACGATATGCGCGCGCGCGTGTTGGATCGATTCGCGACCGTCTACAAACAAGTTAAATATTAATTTCCTGGATCGTCTTTTGTAACAACCGAAACACCGATAGAGTGAAGCAGGCCTGTGCACGCTTCGCGTAAAGTGACAGGGTAACATAATGAGTAAATGGACGAGGAAAGGGAAGGAAAGGAAAGGAAAGGAAAGGAAAGGAAAGGAAAGGAAAGGAAAAGCAGATTTATAGATCGACGGAAAAGGAGGAAATAACATTTATGTTGCGCCCTCCTACCTGCCAGTAGTAGTAATAAATATACGTGAATTAAATCGTCGAACGGTCAATGCTCGACTGACCTCAACAACAGTAAAAGTGACAAACGGCATAACTCGTTGTCCAAGTTGGTCGCGGAACTCGATTTCTCGATTCCTGCTCCGCTACTTATCGAAACAAGATTCTAGTCGAAGCCGATCTCAGTCTTCGATCTACTTTTCGTGGAAAACACCGATAGCGTTCCTCCACCGGACCGATTAGCATTCGAACGAAAAACGAACCGACGAGTTTCAACATCTATTTGGAATTGGATCGCCGAGTTGCAAAATGTAACCAGGAAAATGTTGGCAAAACTATAACGTCGTAATCGAGATCGAGGCTGGAAAGAATTGCGAATGCGTCGAATAGACCGATAGGAATTAAACGGCTGGTTCTCGTATCTCTCGAGGAAACGTTCGAGTTCGAGTTCTCGGTATCGGACGCGTATTAAACGCGAATCGAGTCGTGCGTCGAACGCCGAGCGCGAACGTTTTTCTTGCTTTACCGCGTGCTCGGCGAGCGATCGAAGGTGGCGCGTTACGTTCGGATCGCTTCTCACCTTTTTCCAACCTCTTTCTCCGATTCGATATTTTTTACGATAAAACGAAGCGGTCTACTTGGACAAAAATGCCGACGAGACGAAAGGATGGGTCTTGCTCTATGGGACCCGATAGCCGCGAACGACTTTCGAAGAAGGTCTCGGTACGCGATTTATTTACCTGAAAATCTACGACGAGATCCGGATAAACCGATCCCAAAATCTCATCGATCCGTTCCTGCGACCGGTCGTTCGGACTAGACCGATCGTTCGGTATGCGACGTACCGCGTGCTCGATCTTACCTTTCGGATCGCATAATCCGAACCACCGAGAGGACATTGACCGGTGTTGTATCCGGAGTGCGGCAAGTGACAAGCGGCAAGTGGACGAAATAGTTGTCGCGGTACGGTCGCGTGTCGGCGAATCGAGGGATGCGAGTAAACGGAGGAGTCCCGAACGAGCGACGACGAAGGACGACGGAGAGACTCGGAGATAGGGATGGTGGTTGGGGGAGGGGTGGGGGCAAAAATTGCAAACAACGGAAAGACCTTAAAGTCGAAACCGATAAACGACAAAGACGAAGTTGAAAATCGTTCGATTCGTTCCCGATCGGCGCGCCTGTTTCGTACCGTTCCGAACCACGTGCGCGATTCGTAATTCGCAAAACCATCGAAATGGGATAGACGGGACAGATGGAAACGAGCAAACGTAATCCGAAACGAATAGGAAACGCAGAAATACGGCACAGGCACGGCGAGATACTCGACGCATCGGTCTCTTCGAACGGCAACGCTCTTACCGAAGCTCGCTCGCCATCGATGCGCCGCGGCTTATCGTTCGTCGTTCGTAGTCAGTTTTTCCGTGTTCCTCGTCAGCCGAAGTACGAGCTCTCGTGTCGCGCCGTTAGCGTTAAATTTCTAAGCTGAAAATTTATACCGCGTCGGCGCGACGCGTATCCGCTACGATCGCGCTGTCGGAGAACGGTAAACGATCGTTGAAACCAAACGCTCGAGTATACGTATCTCGCGAGGCACAGGACGTAGGACATAGGACATAGGACGCAGGACACGGGGCATAGGCGATGGACGACGATGGGTGGTGGGTGACGAGCGATAGGCGATAGGCGTCGAAAGACGTATTCGACGCCCTATTACCGGTGGTTAATCGTTGATCGATCAGGCAGCACTCGAGAAATTCGTTCCTTCGGACCTCGTCGAAGATAATCGAATTCTCTACGAGAGAGAAATACCGTGCCGAGAGCGACCATGAGAGGCCGATCGTAATTACGTCACCGTAGCGACAGATATAGAATCACTGTCACTCTCGACGTAAACCGTGATACGCACAGGTCATAGGCCTTTTCTTCTCTTTGAAACACGTATCGCTATATACCCACCGTCGTCGAACGCGTTCGTTTTTCGTTCGCGACTACCCTCGGTCTCGGTCTCGCTCTCGCTCTCGCTCTCGCTCTCGGTCTCGGGAGCCCGCTGGGACAGCGCGAAATAAAACGAACCCGTCTACCGTAATCGTATGTATCTGGGTATTTGGGTAGTGTCCGTTTGGTAACCTTGGTTATAACCTCGTTTCGAGAGTGCGTCGAGCAATCGAGCAATCGAGCAATCGAGCGATAGGCCGAATTACTCCGGATTCGATTCGCGCGCGACTTTCCTTCGTCGAACGAACGAGACGTCGTGTTTCTCTTCGCGAGTCTCGTTGTCGGTAGTGTCGATGCTTTCGCGAGGATCGATGGTCTCTCTCTCTCTCTCTCTCTCTCTCTCTCTCTCTCTCTCTCTCTCTCTCGTGGTTACACGATGCGAACGCGCGCTCTCGAGTTCACGCTCATTCCTATTCGTGCTTTCGAAATTCGTTGCTTCGGTATTACGCAACGCGTTCCTTCGAACCGCTTTTTCTTTCGTTCCCCCTTGCTAATGCCGTCGCGGATCCAGCCTCAGTGTCCCGAATCTCGAAATTTTAGTTTCGGACTTGGACCGACACGGCGACGCTTCGAATTATACAACGTGCAACGAAGCAGGGAAGCCGGCCGACGGAGGGTCGACGCGCGGCCGATATTCCCGGCGCGGCGTTCGATACGCGTTAACGCGGCTCGAGCTCCGCGAAGTCGGCCGTTCGCCAATTTCGTCGAGGTTCGACTGTTTCGAAGACAAATTACGCGAATCACGCGACACGGGTCAGGAAAAAAGATATTTTGGCTACCGAAAGCGTCCAAGAGTAGCGAACGCGGTTTTCGGCGTCGCAGCCTCGAATACCGCGCCGGGACTCGAAGCGAACGCGATCGCGCTCTCGCCGCCTTTTACCGCTGGAAGGACCGTCCGACTCCGACCTAACCCAAGGTACCGAATCTAATCGGAAAGTGCTCGCGCGCCCCGAAGCGCACGGATAAATTCGACGGCAATTTGTTCAGCGGCGAAAGGCTGAGATGTCGAACCGCGGAAGACGGACGGCTCGCTGCTGCGGACACGACCTCGAACGACCCGGCGACCGCTCCGAAATCGATGGCTGCCCGCCGAGATCCGCCCGGAAAATTTGTATCGTGCCCCCTGTACCTCAGGGACCTCTCTGGAAACCTTGCTGCGTTCGAAAATACGATTATCCCTGTTCGGCTCACGCGAAACCTCGACCGCTCGTACGTTTCACCGATTTCGATTTGTTCTCGCAATATTGAAGATGCCGATGAATTTGTCGTCGGTAACCCGTCGAAATAACCGGCTGTTCTAACGAAATATACGATCGTTTCCCTCGCGTCGAACGTATTTCGATGAATCGCGCGGCACGAGCGTGGAAAACCGAAAAAACCTACGACGAAGCGAGACCGTTCGAAAGTAGACTTTCGTCGCGCGTAGCCAACGTTTCAGAAACGCGACAGGATCGTCGACGAGTCTATCGCAGGGTCTATCTTTCCGTGAACGGAGACGCGAGACGTCTGACGCGAGACGCAACCATTATATCTTGAAAATCGTCGAGAAGATCGAGTTTACGCGACACACGAAACGTTGTTTCCTCTGTCGCGCGTAGACGCAGACGCAGACGCAGACGCAGACGCGGATGCGAACGCACCCGCTGATAAGCCGCAGAGGTCGCGAATCGATGGATTAGCACGCGTGTACAAACGGTTGTGCTCGATCGCGACGATCTAGCGAACGCGGCGGGAAAATCGTGTTTCTTTCGTTCGAACGAAACGAAACGAATACGACGTCTCGAATATTATAATGGAACACGGTTGCATCCTCCTTCTTTGCCGCGTTTCTCTGCTTTCTCGAAATATTTCAGTCGCGCAACGCCATTACGCGTCCGATTCGAGACAGCTACGATGAAATCGCGTTCGATCGGCCGATGAACTATCTCGCGTCCTTGATAATCCATAGAGTATAGATACCGTTTTCCCGCGTCCCTCGTTCCAATCTCTCGTCTCTCGTTCCAATCTCTCGTCTCTCGTCTCTCGTTCCAATCTCTCGTCTCGCGACATCGATTTCGTTTCAACCAACGCGATTCTATCGAAAATCTAACTCTCGGACCGTTTGCCTTTAGAGAGTCCGCTTTCACGCCCGCAGGGCTTTTTCGTCATAAATCCAGCGAATTCGGCGGCATAATTTTTAAGTAACTGGAAAACTATTTCGGACGCGTGCCCGCCGAGTATTGCGAGAGCTCGTAACGTCGGTTACGATGCTTTCGTCCGATTTCTTTCGACCAAAAATTCGTTGGGAAGCGTTCGAGCCGTTTTCCGCGATACGGTTGCACCGCGCGAAACGTTTCCCTCGTTCGAGTCCGTTCCCTTTCGTTTTCCCCCTGCTTCCATGCCTCGCTTCCCCCAACGATCGCGCGAAATTTCGACTCGCGATAACGGAGCAACGACGAACAGCGTCGTAGGTTCCTCGACGCGTACCGTATCGTCTCTCGAGGCATCGCTCGCGAGAGGACGACGAGAAGGTAACCGCCTGCGATGGAATACACCAGGACGTCCGGCGCCCGTGTATCGAGCGCCGCGTCGCGCCGAGCCGAGCGGCGTCGAGCCGCGCCAAGCCGCGCCAAGCTGCGCCACGCGGTTGGACCACCTGCGGCGTATCGGTATCCCTAGAAACTCGGGCACTCGGGCACTCGGGCATTCGGGCACGCAGCCAAACGCACGCATGCATCCAGTAGCAACTTTTCGTACGAATCCACCCTTTGGTTCCAAGATTCTGCCACCGGTACCCTCGCTTACCCGCGTCGCAGGGACGCGGGTGTCGTCGTCGGACGTCGCGGACGCGTTGAATAGTCGCGCACGGATAAACCCGGCTAGACGCGCGTACCACTCGACAACGGACGGTTGTCTATCGGCGCATCGATTTCTCTACGCTCTACGCTCTACGCTCTACGCTCTGCAGTCTACGGAAATCGCAGCCGAACACCGATATCGATGCTAACGAGAGTTTTCGAGTTTGCGATGGTACACCTACGATCGATTGCGTAAGATATTAAAGTTAGCACGCGCAGGCTGGGTCTCACTTTCAGCGTGTCAAGGACATCGGCGACAGACCCCGTCGGCCTAATTCTCCACGATCGCCACCAGGACGAACGAACGTTAAACTTTTCACCGACGAATACCGTCGCCCTTCCCCTCTGCATCCCCATCCCCATCTCCGTTTCCATTCCCGTTCCCGTTCCCACCCTTCTCCCTCTCCTCTTCCCTTTGCATCCGATTATCGAAAACTCCGACCGTCTCCGTTTCTGTCGTTTCTTCCGTTTTCTCCTTTCTTTTCCTTTCGTTTCCCTTCGTTCCCTTTTCTTCCTCCCATTCCGTCTAAACGCGCGAACCCACCCTCCGACACGCGTTCTCCACGATACGAAAACATCGTAACGAGTATACGCGCGTACGATATATCGGTACGTCGAATATACATAGTCGTAGGTTTCGTAGAATAGCGTGGCTCGAGTAAGAGAGAGAGAGAGAGAGAAAGAGAGACAGCGTCGATCGAAAGTTCGCAGGATGGACGTCTCGCGCATCGTTCGCAACGCGTATATCAGAGTGGAGGTGATTTTCTTGACTCTCAGGAAAGTATCGCGATGATAGACGCGTTGTCCTTGACACGACGCAAACACGCCATCGTCTCGAACGCACGAAAGAATTTTACTGTTCGGGCGCCGAAAGTGAAACACGGGTTATTTAGAGGCAACGTGACTGGAAGTTTCTGTCGGCAGAACTCTTCGCTCGGTCGTACGAGTAATCGTCGATGGATCGTCGATCGTTTTGCCACCGGTTCGCCGCTGATTCGGTATCCGTGCCGGTCCTCGCCGCGAGACATTAATTTCTTGTCTTTCCTCCTCCTCCTCCTCCTCCTCCTCCTCTTCTTTTTCTTCTTCTTCTTCTTCTTCTTCTTCTTCGAAAGCTGGTACGTTTTCACAGATTTCCTCCGGATCGAGCATTCTTCCGTTCTATCGGCTCGCGCGTCTTCGTTGCTCGCGCGTTATCGAGTTCGTCGACCTTTCCGATCGAGTTCGATCGACTTTGCGGCCGTACGCGTCTCCACCTGCGGGCTACAGGACGAGGACGATTAAAAAGCATTGTTCGCGATCGCGTTGCACCGCATCGATTTCAATTATGAATAACGTGTTTCTTCATCGAGTCTACGTGTCACGCGACTCAATGGTTAAATCGTTTCAAAACCATTTGCTGGTATGTCGCAAGCTGCGTAACTTCTCGATCTTGAATTCCACACACGGTATTCTCGTATGCGAATCGATTTTCTTCCTTTTACTCGTTACCGATTAACGTGGTTGTAGTTGACGCGCTCGCGTCGACGCTCCCGCTTCTGCTGGCATCGGCACCGGTGCACGCGAGCGCGAACCACCGCGCAACATCCATCCAATCGGTACTCGATACGCGCGAATCCCGAATCCCGAATCCCGAATCCCGAATTTCGAATCCAGAATCGCGACGAATTCCGATATGCGAACGAACAAGACGCATGTCCATCCGCATCTTGTATACGTACAAACGGAAACAGAAACGCAAATGCGAATTCGATTCGGAGGTGACGCGATGTATCTTCTTAATTTCATCGTCGTCGTATCGGATCTGTTCGCTTAGCGGCGCGAGCACCCTACGAACCGAGCAAAAATAACCGGGTACGTGGTTCCGTTCTCTCGGAATTATTCCATTCCATGTACGTGTCGATTGCTCGGCCGAGAAACAACTTTTATTCGCAACATCGATGGGACGTCGTCATCCCATGATTCTATCGTTGCATATTTATCGTGAATTGTGCGTGGCAATGATCCACATAATCCTCCCACCGTGTCATCGCGTATGCTCGTTTGTTCGCGCGTTCCTCGTAAACGATCGAAACGAATCGAGAAACCGTACACGACCGATCGTACGTTACCATGTAGGTCTTGATACGTTTAACGATGTAACAGATTTCGGATTTGAGAAAGGATCTTTTTCCAAAAGAGGAAGGCTCTCGAGTACAGAAATCGTAAGAAACGGAAAAAAGAGAAAAAGAAAGAGAGACGGAGGAGGGAGAGAGAGAGAGAGAGAGAGAGAGAGAGAGAGCGTGTGTGTGCGTGTGAAAAACGTGAAAGGAAATAGAAAGAAACGAACTGAAATGAAACACGAAGAGACAAATGTAATCGGTGCAACCCGTTTCTCTGTTTTCACGATCAGGTTTGCCGACAGACACTTACTAGCCATGTCGCTGACACTGGCATTGGCCTACTCTCTCCGATGTGGTTCGTTCTCCCGGCTTACCTTCGTAGTCTCGCTTTCTTTCGTGTCTTTTCGCCTTATCGTTCGACACTCTGTCGCTCTCACTCCCCCCTCCCTCCTCTCTTTCTCTCCATCGATCCATCCATCCATCCATCCATCCATCCATCCAACCAACTCTATCTCTATCTCGCACTTTTCATTTTTCTCACCGTCCCGTAACGAGGGAGTTCCAAACGCGAAGAAACGATAAGAAAAGTATGCGCGCATCGCCGTACAAACGTACCGTGCCACGTAATCGCGAACCTATTATACGATGGTGTATCGAAAAAGGAAGCCGATCGAGTCTTGCTTTTTCTTGCGACCCAGTTTTTCGCGGGAAAACTCGATCGTTCGTCGTTCGTTCGCGCGTACGCGTACTTCGATTCGTTCTTATACGAGAAATTGTAAAACCGATCGATCGTCGCGTCGCGAGCCCTCCGACCGAATAGATTCGATTCTCGCGGATAACGATGTATCGCGATACTCGCTGGATACGATCGCAACGCGTACCGAGTAAAGGTACGAGCGCGAAACGAAACCGAACAAAATGAAACCTCTGTCCGACAACGAAAAGGGTAAAAAAATCGTGCTAGCTTCGACGACAGGTATGCGAGCGTGTTTGTTCGAGGACGAGCAAGGGTTCGAGGCGATCGAGAAAACCGATCGAGAAAACCGAGGTACGGAGCAACGACCGGCCATCAAGTAGGTCGGTTGTGGGCGCACGCAATCGTCGCAACGATTTTGAAAAACTGTCGTTCTACTTTTACATGAAAGCACTTTCACGGTCGCTAACCCCACACGGTTAAACGAATCTTCCATCGAGAAACTTTTCGTCTTGCTCCGCGTCGCGTACGCGCGAGTACACCGCGCGATCCGCGCGATCCCAACGCGTTCGCTGCTTTTCCAATATCGCGCTCGTTCGCAATCGGTTCGAGATTATCAGAGATGCGGATTCGAAGGAACGGTTTACGCTTTCCCACGCGACGCGGCTCGCGAGACGGTCCGTTTCCATTCTCTGACCGTTCCGAAGTCAACTTCTCTCTCTCGTTTCCCTCGATTTTCACCGATATCCAGCTCGTCGCGACCGCGTATCTTCCGTTGTACGACTTTCTCGGTAACGCGCGCGAGGAAGGAGAAAGGGAGAAAACGAGGAGACGCGCGCCGTATCGATCGCCGGATATCGCTTTTTCCCTTCGGCGGCGTTCGATCGTTCGATCCTTGGATCGCGACGAAAAGCATTCGCGACGCGGCAACTTTTATCGCGTCGACCGCGCGTTCGCGCCAACCCTCCACGGTACTTCGAGAACCCTTGGGATACCCCTCGACGAACATCTTTCCCACCGCCGCCACCGCCGTTGTCGCATCTCGTACGAGCGTTTATCCGAACCGCGTCGCGGCCCGCTAATAATATTCGAGCGTGATACGAGGTGAAAGTAATCCGCGAGTCCGTCGTCTATCGCGTGTCGCGTCCGATGCGTCCAAATGAAACGGTAACGTCGTCATCGATAATGTTAACTCCGAATCGAGAACCGCGAATAGTCGTATCGTATTGTATTATGAACTTATGAAAATGCATACCGTTTCTCGAGTAACCTTCGCGAACAAGTAGGTCACAGGGTCTTTCGTCCATGGATTTCCAACTCGGCGGCGAACTTGCACCCGCGCGGTTAAATAACGTTGCTATCCGCGCGACGTATCGCAACGATCGAAAGGTTATTTTGCCGGTTTACCCAGTTTCTCAACATCGTTTCTCGGTATTCCAGTTCCAGAGCGAAGAGTGCGGAGTAAAGAGCGCAGAGTGCAGAGTGCGGACTAAAAAGTAAAGAGTAAAAAATAAAGAGTAAAGAGTAAAGAGTAGAGAGTAGAGAGTAGAGAGTAGAGAGTAGAGAGTAAAGAGTAAAGAAAAGGAAGGGAAAGAAATGATCCAAGNACGACAGGTATGCGAGCGTGTTTGTTCGAGGACGAGCAAGGGTTCGAGGCGATCGAGAAAACCGATCGAGAAAACCGAGGTACGGAGCAACGACCGGCCATCAAGTAGGTCGGTTGTGGGCGCACGCAATCGTCGCAACGATTTTGAAAAACTGTCGTTCTACTTTTACATGAAAGCACTTTCACGGTCGCTAACCCCACACGGTTAAACGAATCTTCCATCGAGAAACTTTTCGTCTTGCTCCGCGTCGCGTACGCGCGAGTACACCGCGCGATCCGCGCGATCCCAACGCGTTCGCTGCTTTTCCAATATCGCGCTCGTTCGCAATCGGTTCGAGATTATCAGAGATGCGGATTCGAAGGAACGGTTTACGCTTTCCCACGCGACGCGGCTCGCGAGACGGTCCGTTTCCATTCTCTGACCGTTCCGAAGTCAACTTCTCTCTCTCGTTTCCCTCGATTTTCACCGATATCCAGCTCGTCGCGACCGCGTATCTTCCGTTGTACGACTTTCTCGGTAACGCGCGCGAGGAAGGAGAAAGGGAGAAAACGAGGAGACGCGCGCCGTATCGATCGCCGGATATCGCTTTTTCCCTTCGGCGGCGTTCGATCGTTCGATCCTTGGATCGCGACGAAAAGCATTCGCGACGCGGCAACTTTTATCGCGTCGACCGCGCGTTCGCGCCAACCCTCCACGGTACTTCGAGAACCCTTGGGATACCCCTCGACGAACATCTTTCCCACCGCCGCCACCGCCGTTGTCGCATCTCGTACGAGCGTTTATCCGAACCGCGTCGCGGCCCGCTAATAATATTCGAGCGTGATACGAGGTGAAAGTAATCCGCGAGTCCGTCGTCTATCGCGTGTCGCGTCCGATGCGTCCAAATGAAACGGTAACGTCGTCATCGATAATGTTAACTCCGAATCGAGAACCGCGAATAGTCGTATCGTATTGTATTATGAACTTATGAAAATGCATACCGTTTCTCGAGTAACCTTCGCGAACAAGTAGGTCACAGGGTCTTTCGTCCATGGATTTCCAACTCGGCGGCGAACTTGCACCCGCGCGGTTAAATAACGTTGCTATCCGCGCGACGTATCGCAACGATCGAAAGGTTATTTTGCCGGTTTACCCAGTTTCTCAACATCGTTTCTCGGTATTCCAGTTCCAGAGCGAAGAGTGCGGAGTAAAGAGCGCAGAGTGCAGAGTGCGGACTAGAGAGTAGAGAGTAGAGAATAGAGAGTAAAGAGTAAAGAGTAGAGAGTAGAGAGTAGAGAGTAGAGAGTAGAGAGTAAAGAGTAAAGAAAAGGAAGGGAAAGAAATGATCCAAGTGCGGATGCGCGGCTCCACGCGCCTCGACGGCGCATCGGCGCCGCTGCAGCGACGCCATAGTACCGCAACCCGCCGTTCGTCGTCGCTTCGGCGCCACAGTCTCCCTCCCCGCATGTCCGGAGCCGNAAGAGTAGAGAGTAGAGAGTAGAGAGTAGAGAGTAGAGAGTAAAGAGTAAAGAAAAGGAAGGGAAAGAAATGATCCAAGTGCGGATGCGCGGCTCCACGCGCCTCGACGGCGCATCGGCGCCGCTGCAGCGACGCCATAGTACCGCAACCCGCCGTTCGTCGTCGCTTCGGCGCCACAGTCTCCCTCCCCGCATGTCCGGAGCCGGCTGAAAACTATCGTTCAACTCTTTCCTTCTTCTCTCCCCTGTAACGTCCGCATCGACCGTTTCGTCACGATTTTCTCAAAATGGTAAGTCTTCAGGTCGGTATCGAAACTGCGAACTCGTCGACTTTACAATCGTTCTTTTCCATCGCACCGCACAGGTACGATTCTTTCGAGAAACTTATTGCTCGCGTACGTGTTCGCGAAAACCCCTGCCTCGGACTGTCCCGCACCGTGTCGTACCGTACCGTACCGTACCGTACCGTACCGTACCGTGACGTCTCGTGTCGCGTCGTATCGCGTTGTGCCGTGCCTCGTCGTGCCGTGTCGCGTCGCGTTGTGTCGGTGTCGTGTCATGCCATACCATGCCACGGCGTGTCTCGTCGTCGACGTTTCGACGTCGCTTCGAGTCGTCCAAAGACGGTCGTGAAATATTCTCGCGATCCACGTTCTTCCACGCATCGCCGATTCAACGAAGGTATTATCGGCGGTACGGACGCACGGTACAGTAATTATCGATTCTTCGGGACGGATGTTCGAATTTCGAGGAAATTCGCCATCCGGCTCTGCGACACGGGTTGCCGTCGGGTTGCGTACGGGTTGACGTCGTACGGTACGGTATACGTATAGCCTCGCGATCAAAACGGTTGAAACTCGAACGGAAAGAAGCCGGACTTGGAAGATTATTCTACTCGATTCGCGGTTGTCGCAATTCGCCGCGGGATGGCAGCACCTCGTGGAACAAGTGCCCGCGTCGCGGTGATCGCGGTGATCGCGGTGATCGCGCGGGAACCGCTCGTACAGTTTCGTAATTGAAATTCTTCGAAAAATCGGATCTCGAATTGTAAAGATGGACGCTATTTTCACCGTGATCGTTGACAGCGTTAACATCGTCGGCCTAGTCGTCGCCATCGTCGTAGCTACTGCCACCGCCGTCGTCGTCGCCATCGTCGTAGCCACTGCCATCGACGATGGTCTGGAATGTGCCGTAGGGCGGTGGAGGCGAGACCGAAGCGTACCGGCGACGCTGCGATTGGAAATTGTCATTGGAATCCATTGGCATCGTCCAATACCATTTCCGAGGTCTTTCCTTCGCCGCTCTAAAGCGCATTTCGGACCACCACCGACTGCCATCGCCATCGCCTTCGCCTTCGCCTTCGCCTTCGCCTTCGCCTTCGCCATCGCTATCGCCATCGCCATCGCCATCGCCATCGCCGTCGTCATCGCCATCGTTATTACCATCGTCGTTGCCTTCGTCTTCGCCAACGGCCTTGCACAGAAATCTCTGACAGACTATGTAAAAAGATGGTCCAATTTCGCAGGTACTTGCAGGCACAAGTGTACCGAATCTGCGTCGAGAACATCGAGAGCATAGAGAAGAAACGGTGGGGTGCGAGCAACGCGCGAACGTATATCGGTGCTCGGGGACCGGAACGTTGTCCCAGGAACGGGAGAATCAGCATCGCGCGACGTCGCGGAACGGTAATTCGGAAGAGATATCGGTGCTGAATTTGATGGACGGAGAGAGTTTGTGCTACAGCTTGGCGTTGATACGTGGCCGAGCAACGGGAGCAGGCTGCGACTCGATCACCGTGAGGAACCACAAGAGTCAAAGTTCGACCGAATGGCCGATCGTAGCCGGGGAATTTCGAGCCGTGGTGGAACTGGCTCGTGGCCCGAATAAATTGGAACTGGAAGCAGCCGGACGAAAGAAGAAGCTGCTTCTGATCCACGAGCCGAGAACGACGAGATTACGGGTAACGCCGGTTTACGTGATCTGCGCCGGCCACGACGGATACTTCCAAGGCCCCCGCAGAGAAGATCGATCGCCGGAAAGCGCGGCGACCAGAATCGGTCTCGGCGCTCGGCTCCTGCAGGCTCTAACCGCCGAGAAGCTGCGGGAAGCGGGTTACGAGAGGAAAACCTTTCAGCTGGAGAGGGACTTGGACGGGCCGGAGTGCCTGGTGATGCACAGTATGCTCGACGTTGACAGAGCACGCGGCATGAGCCAACGAGAACTTTGGGAATTGATCGCGCGGGAACTGATGACCGGACCGTTGGCCTCGAAGCATCGCAAATATCTCGCGTTTCTCTCGTGCACTCGGTATCGGGGCGCCCCGAACCCGCGCACGCACGAGGACACGCTCGCGAGAACGCAGGGGCACGCGGCGCTCGGCGGCGGGGGACTGGCTCTGTTCGGCTCGGCGTGCCTCCACACCTGGCCGACCCGCATGAACCAAGTATTGGCAAGGTTTCTGGACGCGACGCCCGTCGACACGGAACAGCTGATGGACGACAGCAATTACCGCGGCACGCACGGCGGCTGCTTCGCCACCACCCTCGGCTCGGTTCTGCACGAGCTCGGTCACACTTTCGATCTCGGTCATACTCGCGAAGGTATAATGGGCCGCGGGTTCGACTACGTCGATCGCGTGTTCGTCGGCGCGGCTGGAATCGACTTCAATCGAAATCCCGTTCTACGAAAAGACCCTCAGCACACGACGGTCGCGTTGAGCAGGCCGCTCAGCGTCACGGTTACCGTGCAACAACCGTTCGCTCTATCGACGAGCCCGCGAAGGAGTCGCTTGCTCTCGGAAACCTCGCGACCCTCGCCCTCCCAGAGTCCTCCGCGGTCGCTCGGTCGCGTGTCCGCGCCCGCCAGTCCCGAACTCAATAGGTCCTTCTCCAAGAGCCTGCTGCAGGCGCAGTCCGTGCACGCGATCGAACAGATCTCGGCTAATTCGCAAACCGATCGAACGTTTTGGACAACCTCGTGCGCGGCCTTTCTCGCCTATCATCGGTGGTTCAACAACGAGATGGACAACCTTCCCAATCGTCGCTTCTACGACATCGAGTACGATGGAAAAAGGTAAAGCGAAACCTATGGAAACTTTTTTCTTTCTTCTTCCCGCGTATCCCGTTTCCCGTTTTTCGTTTCCCGTTTCCCGTTTCCCGTTTCCCGTTTCCCCGTTCATCGTCCCGTTTCTTCGCTCGAAACGGGCGCCATCGTTTCAACAGTTTCAAAACATAGTTTATCGTTGTTTGCGCGACCGACGACAACACCGTTTCTCTTCTTTTCCCACTCCCTGTGTCTTCGGCTTTCCCACTCCCTCGCGCCTTCCGAGCTCTTCCAATTCCAATCGTTACTACTGCCGCAGCAACCGACGCAGCAGTTGCAGCCGCCGCAATCGCCACTGCTACCGCAACTGTCGCCACTGTCGACGTCGTCGCTAATAATGTTCCTATCTCTGTGTCTAATCGCAGGAACGTGGTGAGATCGCGTTTCGGAGTACGAGTCATAGAACTTAGGGAGACCTCGGGCGGAATGGTATGCGGTTCTCGACAATTCCCTGGGGCTCGACCACCCATGGAAGCTCTGGTTCCAACGGCTCCACCCCACTCTCTCGCCGCCCTCACTCTCGTTGCCGAAGATTCGGCCGGCAACGTGCTCAGATATCCGCTACCGACAGCATTTTGAAGCATCGTGCCGATTCTCCCTCGTCGTTGACACGATTCGAAATCTTTGGACGAATACGAAACCAGTGGCAACTTGTGCAAAACACCACGAGTGCGTTCGTTTTCGCGTATCGTGTGCCTGTGTGCGAGGTAACGCTTCCGCCTGATCGAACTCGGAACTAGTAATCGAACATGCCTGTTAGTCGCCATGATTTTACGAAATCGTTCTCCGCGAATACGCTATTGTAAAGAACACGTTTCGTCACTTTGTACCACTCGAAAATCGATACACGGAACCCTTTGCTATCGTATAGCGACAGCTTGGTATCCAACCGAGCCAGACCCGATCCGAATCGTCGGTCAACGATCGAACGCGTTTCATCTTATGCGGTGACGCGTGCATGGAAACGCGAGCGCGCGAGAGCGAGAGCAAGAACTTTGTACAACGTTACGATGAACGCAAATGTGGTATATTTTTTGTAAACATCGTTTCGCTAACCGACGCAACACTGGACCAGCTACGACCGGTGTACGCGTCGATCTATACACGATAGGTACATGTAATTTGTATACGTACGCGATTATTTACGTAGATTCGGATACATAGAAGGAAACGCTGAATTTGTAAAACTTTGATTCGTTGCTGGCAATTCGGAAAATGGAAGAAAATTGCGAAATCCATCGATACCGATACATTTGTTGCATCGCGCGTACGCGCAATACGCGTATACGTACCGTTTAGGCACGACGACTCGAATCTTTAAACTTGAAACGACTAGAATGCTTTGTCGGTGATAATAATCTTGTAGTCGTAGCAAACAGTACAAGTTAATTAATAAATGCGATAACTTGGTACCATGATTCAACACTGACTAGACAGTACACTGAACGATAAAACACGATTCAATCATATAATAACAAGTCTGCATCGAAACGCGTTACTTTGTACGTTCGGTACATAGCATAGAACATGGTACTATCGTGATTGTTATCGTTATCGTTATCGTTATCACCGTCGTTATTATCGTCGTCGTGTTTTCGATAGCGTGGGAGACCTAAACGATCGAGCCTGGAGCCTGGACTACGCGTAAACGTACACGTACACGTACACACGCGTAAAACTTACCTAGTCACTGTCGTAGCGGACCTTTATCGAAATGCTTGTTAAAACACACGTTATTCGAGATAGCGTCATTTTTAACATTAACATCGTTGCTAATCGATACCTCTCGCAGTTCGTATCTACGCGCGACATGACACGATCAGGATAATCGTCGAGTATCCAAAGGAATAAGTATCCCTCTTTTCCATTATATACCTATACCTATTCCTATACGCTTGAAATTCCATTGATACCTTACTTTCGCTTGTTACCAACCAAAATTAACCATGCTGTCTACCGTATCGAGTACAACCGGAACAACGGATGCAGTTGACGGTGAAATTAAAATACTGTTCCCTGAAATCGTTCAACAGAAGATAAACACTGTCGAATTTCTAGCTGCGGCACGTGGCGTTGCCAGAATAGTGGGTACGTACGATTCTATTCGGTGCAACTTAATTTCATAACCTGCACAAAAAGTCACGAATCAATTACGCTGGAACCATAACGAGTCGATCGATCGATTAATGTTTCAGATAAACTCGGCAAAGTCTTTGCTCCCGTCAAATATGATATTCAAGGCAATATCGATGTAAGTTCTGGCGAATTTTAGACATTCGGAAACGAATATGAATACGACAGAAAATTAGAACGCTCTCTGCTCGCACAGATTTCGCAACAAACTACCACCGATTGTAAGATCGTCCGATTTCTCTGTAATTTCTTCCAATCTAATTGCAGAAACTCACAGCTCGGTACGCGACTAATATGGAACAAAATGTAACCTTGCAGGACATGATTCTATTTGAAAAAGCTACCGAAACCAAGTTAATCGCTATGGATGCTCTGTTATGGCTGACTAGGTACGCGCTATTCTACTTTGCATTTTCCCCGAAAAAGAAACGTACATCGATTCGATCCGATCAAAATCTTAACGTACCTATTCCAGAGGATTACACATGATTTTACTATTTTTCGAAAAAATTGTCGAAGACGGTAAAACAGATTCGCCGACGGAAGATTTGGTAGCGTTTCTTAAAAAATCTTACAAGGAGGCTCTAGAACCGTACCACGGTTGGATGGCGCAACAGCTTTTCGATGTAAGTGCGCACTCGATATTACTCTCGAGACAATTTTTACCATGAAAAATTATGCAACTCGGTCGCGAACGAAAGTCTAACTTTTTCAATTATTTTTATCCTAATATCACAGATTCTTTCTCGCATGGTTCCCACACGCTTGCAACTTTTGTCTGCATTGAGTACAAGCGAAAATCCCGACAAACACGATATTGTTCTGAGAGACATGGAAATTTACTTGACGAATCTGCGGAAAAATGTTTCGATCATTCAGATGTTTTATAAAACCCATAATCTTGGAAATGCAAGATGAAAATGTGAGTTATAGTTATTCGCATCGATAACAACCTAATCGCAGCACGGTATACAAAAATACAGTTTGTTGAGAATAAAAGTAAACGAAGAAAAGAAAAGAGAAACGAAATAATCTCAAAGAATGCACGATAGTACAGTATTTGTGGACGATTGGAATATCAAAATTTATTAATAAGATTTTCCATAATAAACTAGTACTTGCTAGGCGCATTATACAGTCGAGCCAAATAAAATGTTCTAGCACGAAGGTCTGCCAAATTCTTCAAGGCGATCGCACCCGTAACAATTTCAAGAAAAAGAAGACCGATCATAAAATAATGGACAAATACATTGTTACGTTCGAACAATGTTCTACGGTTGAAAACAAGGAACATTTCCAGAGGGAGTTGTATCAGCAGCGAAATCAACCAACAAGCTGCCAATTCTGGAATCTAACAAACACCGTCTCCCATGATAGTTAACAAATTCTGAACTAGATAATGCTTGCGATGTAAATGCGATTGACTGTAATTACCTTCCCACCAAGATTTCCAAGATATCCCAAATATAACTTCAAACTGTCGGACACCAAGAGTATCGCAAATATTACCAGCAGTATCGCGTTGCAAATATCCCTTACGTACTTACTGTACTGAAAAAGACAAACAGAAATCACCAGATTAATCGATTGAATTTGCCTAAAAGTAACTTTCACACTTTACACATTGTACGCAACAGATCACACAAATGATATTTACATTCAAATCCAAATTGTAAGCAACTACCGATAACCAAATCGGAAAGAACCAAAGGTTAATGTACAGAACTATTTGAAACGGCAAATTCGATTTTATTTTGTTCCTTGTTGTCCGTTCCATTCTACATCCGTTTGCCAAGAGATCAACGTTTACCAATACATTTGCTCATTTCACAACTGATTCTACAAACGTCGTTTGTAGAACAATGTCGTCGTGTCAAATTTACGCGTTCACCACAATCAAAATTTCATTCAAAACCAGTATCGTTCTCCGAATTTAAACCGATCTTTGGTTAGATGTTGAATCGAATCGTATAAAGTATAGCGTCAGAATCGTAAGTCGAACGCTATCTACGGTCGAACATTGAAACTACTAGCCACACTTAATATGTACATATTATGCCGGTCGGTCCAAGTCCAAATGTATGTATTTGCGCATGTAGATTGCGCTGTTTGATTGTGTTGTTCGTCAAACGTGCATACTCTGTAGCGTTAGAGTGTAGAGTATATAAGAGTAAAGAGCTATAGAGCATCGAATACATATACGTACTGATCGGATTTTCCCATGTAAAAGATTATAATTCTTCTGTTACGAATTTATCAGCTTAATCCAATATAAAGATACTAGTAGTGCTTGTACCAAGCAATATTCGTAACTGTTCGTTTACACCGGGTATTTCATCAAAGTGACGTAAATGCATAAACGCATACACAGCAATCGTATTTATATAAGCAATTTCTCCGGATTAATAAGCAAAACATCACGATAACAACAGACGCTAATGGTTCTTCTCCACCTTTTTAAAATGATCGCAGTTCTTTGTCATACTTTCCGGTTTCTCATACTTCCTAACATTCCTCGCGTAAGTCTTCTCGGAGAACTCTCGTCTACTCTTTTTGCTATAATCGCGTTCTCTGGAACGGGAACGTTTATGTTTACGTTGTGTCTGCGGTTTTCGTGATTCCTTCGAGTTTCGCGATTCTGTTGTAGTTCGCGAATACTTGTCTCGCCCGTATCGATCTCTGAACGAAGATGCGTGCGACGGTTCGATACGATCGTTTCGGAGATTGTTACCTCCGTGATCATTCTGAGAGTCCCTAAGTAAAAGATGACGACAGTTGTAACGAGAATCGGTGGGAGACAACGAGGATGTGTTTTGTACAGTGTCACCCAGATGTTTCCTTGGACTTTCAGTTTTTCTGAGATCTACAGCTTTCGTCTCACGATTAATTTGATGTTCTTGCGTGACATGATCGACGTACAACTCCATTTGTTGATCTATGATCTCTCTGAGGATTTCCATGTGAGACTTTTTATTGGTATGAACACCTCTGTGTTTAGCCCTACGTCGTTTTAAATTACGTTCTTGAACCAGTATCTCCAGAAACGATAACTGTTTGTTATCTTTATCTCTACAGACTCTGCAATAAATTATGAATTCTTTCAATAGTTTTATGTTAATAGTCGAACAAAAAATGCTTATACTTACAATGTTTTGGTATCTGTAAAGTCATGTCCAACGTCCACTTTCATTGTACGGGAGACGACATATTCGTATAATATTTTCCTTTCATCGCGAGTAAAATCTGTGAAGATTCTATCGGATGTTCGTGGAATTAACCGATCACCCAAACCTATTATCAGTGTTAAGAATGTGGGTTTTCAACTGACTTATACATTATAAAGACAAATAAAATAAGGAAACATAAAATTGTATACTATGTGTATGTGAACACACGCACACACATATATATATATATATATATATAGAGAGAGAGAGAGAGAGAGAGAGAGAGAGAAAACATGAAAAAGGATATATAGAGCTTGTGCCAACTATGACATTGATAACTGTCTGGAAAAAATTGAGCAATTTAAAATATTTAAGGATACACTTTAAGCTCTGTTTTTCTGTACTAACCAATGCTTATTGTAGAATCCTTTCTTCTAGCTTCTTCTATGATGCTATTTTGCAAAACTGCATCTATAATCGAAGGCTTTTATTTTAGACTTGTTTTTGTTGAACATTTACAAGTTATTTTAAACGATTTCACCAAGTATGTTACTTACCCAATTTTATAGAGAAAGGAGAACACAAATCTAAATTTGGTTCAGACAGTGGTACATGACATTTATTATAGCCATCTCTTTTCCATTGACAATCTTCCAAGTGTTGATCCAAAATTTCTTTTCCGATACGGTGAGACGAATTATATGGACATATTAGACGATNTCTCCGGATTAATAAGCAAAACATCACGATAACAACAGACGCTAATGGTTCTTCTCCACCTTTTTAAAATGATCGCAGTTCTTTGTCATACTTTCCGGTTTCTCATACTTCCTAACATTCCTCGCGTAAGTCTTCTCGGAGAACTCTCGTCTACTCTTTTTGCTATAATCGCGTTCTCTGGAACGGGAACGTTTATGTTTACGTTGTGTCTGCGGTTTTCGTGATTCCTTCGAGTTTCGCGATTCTGTTGTAGTTCGCGAATACTTGTCTCGCCCGTATCGATCTCTGAACGAAGATGCGTGCGACGGTTCGATACGATCGTTTCGGAGATTGTTACCTCCGTGATCATTCTGAGAGTCCCTAAGTAAAAGATGACGACAGTTGTAACGAGAATCGGTGGGAGACAACGAGGATGTGTTTTGTACAGTGTCACCCAGATGTTTCCTTGGACTTTCAGTTTTTCTGAGATCTACAGCTTTCGTCTCACGATTAATTTGATGTTCTTGCGTGACATGATCGACGTACAACTCCATTTGTTGATCTATGATCTCTCTGAGGATTTCCATGTGAGACTTTTTATTGGTATGAACACCTCTGTGTTTAGCCCTACGTCGTTTTAAATTACGTTCTTGAACCAGTATCTCCAGAAACGATAACTGTTTGTTATCTTTATCTCTACAGACTCTGCAATAAATTATGAATTCTTTCAATAGTTTTATGTTAATAGTCGAACAAAAAATGCTTATACTTACAATGTTTTGGTATCTGTAAAGTCATGTCCAACGTCCACTTTCATTGTACGGGAGACGACATATTCGTATAATATTTTCCTTTCATCGCGAGTAAAATCTGTGAAGATTCTATCGGATGTTCGTGGAATTAACCGATCACCCAAACCTATTATCAGTGTTAAGAATGTGGGTTTTCAACTGACTTATACATTATAAAGACAAATAAAATAAGGAAACATAAAATTGTATACTATGTGTATGTGAACACACGCACACACATATATATATATATATATATATAGAGAGAGAGAGAGAGAGAGAGAGAGAGAGAAAACATGAAAAAGGATATATAGAGCTTGTGCCAACTATGACATTGATAACTGTCTGGAAAAAATTGAGCAATTTAAAATATTTAAGGATACACTTTAAGCTCTGTTTTTCTGTACTAACCAATGCTTATTGTAGAATCCTTTCTTCTAGCTTCTTCTATGATGCTATTTTGCAAAACTGCATCTATAATCGAAGGCTTTTATTTTAGACTTGTTTTTGTTGAACATTTACAAGTTATTTTAAACGATTTCACCAAGTATGTTACTTACCCAATTTTATAGAGAAAGGAGAACACAAATCTAAATTTGGTTCAGACAGTGGTACATGACATTTATTATAGCCATCTCTTTTCCATTGACAATCTTCCAAGTGTTGATCCAAAATTTCTTTTCCGATACGGTGAGACGAATTATATGGACATATTAGACGATTATCGTTCTGAGGAAATATACGATTATAAATGTAGATCTATTAGCGATAGTTTTTAAATATGCGCAATATAATACATATTAGCGTTTACCTCAATTTCTATGCTTTCTAGCGTCCAATCTAAGGCAGACGTAATGTCCATGATTTCTTGGTGAATTTTTTTCGTGAAATCATTTAAACCTCGGTATTGGATTTCGCGGTTATTTAACGTACTATTTAACATTTCCGCTTCTAATGTAAAATTGTGAGTAAAGAAAATTATTTGTAACAATTAACTAAACCTAGAAAACACGCGAACGCGTCTCCTTATGACGTAATGTTGTCACTTGTCACCACTTGTCACTACCATACTCGTACTACGGACCTAAAGGAAGGAACTATTTGCGAGAGGTTGAAGCAGAAGACGGAAGGGAACATCGACCGTCGGCCATATTTTTCTTCTTCTTTTATTCAAAGAAAATATGTACATACAACTTTAAGCATCTAGATATACATATTAGACTCTGTCCTTAATTTTGGCAAAATTAGGGTATAACACAGGGTATAAAACAAATGAGAATATTGCGAAACATAAATAATTGTTCATTAAAGTTTGCTTAACTGTTATGTCAACTAATTATATTTCGTATTGTTGTCGTTTGGTTTTCTTACACGACATCGATGCAGCAGATCGCTGCAGATTCTTTTGAACAATTCTATGCTCTTGATTTACTTTTTTATGCCTTAATTTTCTCATAATTAATGTTTTTTTGACGACCTTGCACTTTGCGTATGTGGCGCTTCTGTTGGAGAAAAAGTGAAGCTACTTTCGATGTTCGTATAGCGCCAACTGATGCAGTGGCACTGTACTGCATCGAACGGAGCTTCATTTTCTCTTCAACAGAGGCGCCAGATACGTAGAATGCATGTGTGTGTGATCACCGATAAACATTATTTATGACAAAATTGGAGCATACAAGACTAAACCATAGGACTATTCAAGAGGATTTGAATCCTACCTAAAAGATCGCTATATGCCATGATTGACTATTCAGATACAGGACGGCCAATCATAGCTCACTTTTCCCTTAAGGACACATCAACGCGATATTATTGTACATGGTAGATAAGTTGGAACATCCAACCGTAACCACACGATCTAACTGTCTAACATGAAACATCAGCAACGGCCACGGCCAGAACACGAATCCTACCAGCATCGTGTGGCATCAACGAAAGTGAGAGTGATATACAGCTTACCCAATCAGATTGAAAAGTTGGTTATTCGAGATTCGAGATTCGAGATTCGAGATTCGAGATTCGACGCTACGTATGTATGCGCAAATGGAGATTTACATGCATATGCACTATGTAGTACACGCACGCATACTATGCTTTAGATGAATTCGGTAGTTAAGTTGACTCGCGTAGCTACGTGACATGAGTTTTGGGATTTTGAGGATCAAACGTTGGGGAAAGAAAGTGACAACTCATTTGTCGTTCGTTAACTCTATTTGTTTGTGTGTGTGAGGGCGTATAAAACGTTTAATATTTTAAATAAATTTTATCAGATCCAGATAAACTGTACGTTTAAGTGTTTTGAAAAATCTGAAACATTTAATCAGCTAATTATATTTACAGTTCCTGTGGAGTGGGGAAATAGGTTAGTTGTTCTTAGATTTTTGTCTCCTGGAACATAAATACTGTCACGATGGCTGGTGTAATGTTATTTGAACGAGCACAAGCAGTTTCCATGACGAATCGTAGCGAAGGTATTTCTCTTTTGAACGAAATCATCTCCGATCCTAGTATCGGTGCTGTTGACGATGACGAAGAGAATATTCGTATAAAAGAGCAAGGCATTTTACACCTTGGTGAGCTTTACAAGAAGGAAGGAAAAGCAAAAGAACTGGCTGAACTAATAAAAGCTACAAGACCATTTCTGAGCTTAATCAGCAAGGCCAAAGCTGCTAAACTTGTTCGTTCTTTAGTAGATTTCTTCTTGGATCTAGAAGCTGGCATTGGAATCGAGGTATTAATACTTACGTCGAATTAGCTGGCAACTCGAAACCACTGCAATGGACATATTTTGTTGTAGACTGATCGAATATCCTATCTTTCTTTATAATAGTTGTTCGATGGAGAGTAAAAGTAATATAAAATAGAGCATGACGATAGCGCGTTCTCGAGCGGTCGCCTTAGCGATAATATAATATAGGAATTTGGTCATTCGGTGGATGCGAGTATCCATGATATTTTGTTTATAATTCGATAATACAGTTTCCAACAATTCTACGTTCGTTTAGGTTCAATTGTGTAAGGAATGCATAGAATGGGCAAAAGAAGAACGTCGAACATTTTTAAGACAATCGTTGGAAACACGTTTGATAGCGTTATACTTTGATACCGGTATGTACAGCGAGGCGTTGCAATTGGGATCGGCTTTATTGAAGGAACTTAAGAAATTGGATGATAAACAACTATTAGTCGAAGTTCAATTGCTAGAGAGTAAAACGTATCATGCCCTAAGTAATTTAGCAAAAGCAAGAGCAGCTCTTACCAGTGCCAGGACAACGGCTAATGCAATTTACTGTCCACCAAAAATGCAAGCTGCGCTAGATTTACAGTCAGGAATTCTACATGCTGCGGACGAACGAGATTTTAAAACAGCATACTCTTATTTCTATGAGGCATTCGAAGGGTGAATCATTTGGTTCAGCATGATTATATTATTTCCAGAATTTGCTTTCATTCGTCTAGCTTCTATTATTTATCGATTGTTTGCAGCTACGACAGCGTCGAGAGTCCCAAAGCGTTAACAGCACTGAAATATATGTTACTGTCAAAGATTATGCTGCGCACACCCGAAGACGTTCAGTCGATTATGTCTGGGAAGTTGGCGGTTAAGTATGCCGGCCGGGATTTGGACGCGATGCGAGCAGTCGCCGAAGCAAGTTATCGACGATCTTTAGCGGACTTTCAAACTGCTGTAAAGAAGTACCGCGACGAATTGGAAGACGATGTGATTGTACGTGCTCATCTCGGCTCCCTGTACGATGCTATGCTTGAGCAAAATTTGTGTCGCTTGGTTGAACCTTATTCTCGCGTACAGGTATATAGATAGCCCTATACTTAACATTGTCTGCCTTGCGTTACGAAGCTTTCGTTAATCTTGCATTTTACTCGAAACAATAGGTCAGTCACATCGCTACCTGCATATCATTACCTCTTCCTCAAGTTGAAAAGAAACTCTCGCAAATGATATTGGATAAAAAATTGAGAGGTGTTCTCGATCAGGGCGAAGGTGTTTTAATCGTTTTCGAAGATACCCCACGAGACAAAACTTATGAACTTGCATTGGATACGATACATAGTATGGGGAAGGTCGTAGATACGCTCTATCAAAAAGCGAAAAAACTCACTTAGCCGTGTTTAATACAATATAGATATATACCTCTAACATCAAAGATTCATAATTATTAATACCATCGATTATCGTTTTGTGTCTTTAAAATACAATTGAATTCATGATCTTTTAATATGTTCATTGTATTATTTAAATCGACACGTTTCTGCTTCGAATATCTTTCTTTTCTTTATGCTATTAGGATACTCTGGTATTATTTCTTTCAAAATCTTAAATAATCCGATTGAAAATACTTTTCTTCCTACGTATATATACACACACACACACACACATTTTAATATGTGAACCAGACACTAGTGTGTACAATCATATCCCTTCTGTTATGCACACATTCGTTCGTACACACATGGCACGCATACCGAAGACACGTATGTGCCGCCCGCGGGTATACAGATACACACGCGTATATTTGCACACAGTTGTAAAGCGTCATGTGCAGCAGTGACTGTTTCAAAAGGGTTTTTTCCATTCGAAAACAGTTTATGATGGTGCTGTGATATGCCAACTGTGAAATACAATATTACTGTGTAAAATTGTTTTGTTATTCATTTACATATATACATAAACCTGTTCGAGTCATTGAAAAATAAAAGAGACGGAAACAAATTCCTACTGCTATATCATCTTGCACATTAATTGAACAGTTGTAATTGTCCCTTTCTAGCGCCGTTAAATGGATGAAAATTTTACATATTGACCTATATTCATGTAGATATTTCCATATTTCAAATAACATTTTTAAAGAGTTTTTATGAAAGTGAGATACCATTAGATTGTGTACGTTTATGTGCATACGAATGTGTTTGAATGTATTCGTGTGCGTGTCTGTGTCATTTTATGGCGAAAAATTTTAAAAGTAAAACCGAATGAATGCATATTTATATAATATTAATACTGCATATTTCGTATTTTATAAATATGAAATAGCCTAATTCGAAGTGTAATCTGTACCGCTAAATCAAAAACGATGTTACGACAGCACTACTGTAACCGTGCTAACGTTACAGTTACAGATTCTGATTTGATGGCGTAGTAGGAACATGCACGACTACTTCCTGTTTGAAGTTGTACGTTACAACAAAGAGGCAGGGTGGTTATATTTTATAAAGTGTTTTTTTGTGTAAAATATATAATGGCAGATACAACAGCACAGAAGGTAAAGTATTTTCCACAATGATCACAATGTTCAACGTTAGGAAGTGCTAGCTTAGGCTATTCGCATGATATGCTTGAGAAACTACAAGCAACAATGTTTAGGTTAATGAAGCAGTTAACACAGGCCGGCATCAATATGTCTAAGCAAGATTTTGCTTTCTTTTCCTGATAAGATTTTCGAAAAACAACCTCCCGTTATCATTCATAGATTTTGTTTATTCAAATGTTTTAGTTTCCTACATAACGTAATAATCCTCTAGGTTCTAGATGATTAAGTTTAACATTTATACAAAAGTACGCAGACAAACAATAAAATTATATTTCCATCGGTACACGTAGTTTCCGTCTAACTATACGATATTTTACGTTTATTTGTTATTTCGTATTGTTATATTGTATCATATTATATTGGCTCTCTGGAAACAAAACGTGCAAGTTTGTGTAGTCATTTGTTATAATTTACCATGTAACAATAGTCATTTTTACGTATTATGTACTATTATTCTATATTTTGATTCAGTTGAAGTATTCTATTTAATGTATTTATCCTTCAAGTTTGTCTTACAGGTTCAAGAATACAAAGATTCTCTTAAAACTAAGGTAATTAGTTGATCGTTGTTTCATTGCTGCATACTTTTGACCAAATTATTGTAATACATACCATCTACCGTTCTATGTATATATATATTGTTTAGGCCGAGCAACTGCTGTTAAAAGGATTTCCCGAGAAGATCGTTAAATTAAACGAATTATTGGAGACACCTGGATTTTGTAACAGAAAACTATCGGATGTCCATCAAGATTTAAACGTGCCTATTCCAGATCCAATAATTCTGAATCATTCCGAAGATGTACCTCCTACAAAGAAAGTGAAAGTAGACAATAGCATAGACAATACTAGTGGAACCAAAGTGATGGTATTAACAAATGGACCCGTACTTTGTAACAAGCCTCTATGCGATCTGATTTGCATAGTTAAGCCCTATATTCGACAACTGCTGGAAGACTCTAACTTGGTAAGTACACCGAAACCGATATACCCGTTCGTTAATCTACATTATTTCTAAACCGTGCTAATCAAAAATTTATTTATCGTTTCAGTTGAAAATGTGGGTTTCCTATCTAATTCCAAAAATAGAAGATGGAAATAATTTTGGAGTGTCTATTCAAGAAGATACGCTGGCTGAAATACAATCCGTTGAAAGCGAAGCTGCCGCATTTTTCGATCAAATATCTAGGTAATTCTCTTATTTATCACTTTGCAATACCTTGTTGTTTGTATGTAGTATGTACAATGGTATAACGATTGTTTCCCATATTGGAACCGGAACACTTGTTACCATTGATAATTTGTACCGGGTGACACCTAGGAACGCTAAAGTTTAGCAATTTTATTTACATACGTCACCGTTCGTATAATAGAGGATCACAAAGTATCGAAAAACTGTTAATATATTGGCAAAAAATAAAAAGAGTTCCAAAGATGTCCGGAAGCACCGCGTGAAACACAAGTCGCATAGCGGTACTTAATAGAAAGTACATAGTCCAAACAGAAATTTTATATTTAACAGGTATTTCATCTCTAGAGGAAAGGTCATCAGTAAAGTTGCAAAGTATCCACACATTAGCGACTATAGAAGGGCAGTCCAAGAATTAGATGAGAAAGAGTATGTGAGTTTGTGGTTAGTTATGTGTGAAGTCCGTAATCGTTATTGTTCTCTACATGACTTGGTAATCAAGAATTTGGAGAAGATCAAAAAACCTCGTTCTTCTAATACGCAATCCTTGTATTAAACTGCAGACTATACATACTATTTATACCTGATATTGTACAGGACGATAATGAAAAAAAAAACAACAAAAAGAAACCAAGAAAAACATTCGCGACATAAGAAAATATTATTCTTAATCCTTTCATTGAATCATTTGAATTTTGTTTACTTTCCTGGTCCCGTTGCCTTTTGTTGTGTTTGTTTGGTTATTCGAGTGACTTTTAAAACTGCATCAGACAGAAAAGTCGAAGCGTTTTCAACAATTTATTCGTTTATTTACTAAAATTATCATAGTTTGTGTCAATTC